CAAAAACTTTAGTAATTGGAAAGATGTTGCTATCATCAACAGAAATAGTGAAATTTAAAGGAGGGGCAGTTTTCAGGGGAGGTAGTGAGGTGTTTTGCAAGTGCTTAAGTTTGAGATGCCTAAAAGAAAGAACATCATGGACCTCAGAAGATGTTCAACTGGCAATTGGTAATGTGAAGTTTAAGAGAGAGATGAGGGCTAAATATGTACATCTACGAGTCATTTGTCTATGGATGATAATTGACTCCAAGGAAGTTCATGAGATTATCAAGAGAGGTGTATAGAAAGAAAAAACAAAAAGAAAAAAAAAAGCAGATCCTTGGAGACATCCCACTTAGGAAGCAGAACATATAGTGTTTCAGAGATTTGCAAGGCACTTTATGTTAACTCATTTGATCCTCATGAAAACCCTAGGAGGTAGTGTTATTTTATCCATTTTACAGATGAAAAAACTTAGGCTAGGAGTGTTTAAGTGATTTGCCCAGGTTCACACGTTTATAAGTATCTGAGTTAAGATTCAAACTCATGCCTTCTTGATATTAAATCTAACATTCTATTAAATTTTTTTCACATTAACCACTGAAGAGCCAGCTATCTCATCTTATACTTGGTTTCAAAAAGGCTGGGCCACCATTCTAATCAAAATCTCATTCAATCCTGCCTTTGGCATCTAACATGCCATCTATGCCATGGTCATCTTATTTGTCAAAGTTCTCTATCCCTTCATCCAAAGTCACTAGTTAAAATGTTGTCTATCAGAGAGGCAAAGACAGATCCCAAGGCATTCCACTAGAGATTTCCATCCAAGTTGACCATATCCCATTAATGACTATTTTGGGGACCCATTCTTTCAACCAGTCACAAATTACTTCTGTAATATTTTCAACTAGTGTACATCCAAGCTTTCATTCAGAGTTTCCCATATCTCTCCATCTTGTTCACAAGGATTATAAGAGTATCTTTGTCAAATGCTTTGCTATAATCTAGTTATACTAACATCTACAGCAGGGGTCCTTAACCTGGTGTTACTGGTTAACCCAGTATCTAGCATCATATAAAAAAAAGGAAATGAGATTACACTGGCATTCTTCATGAAAGTTAAGATGGCTTTTAGTAGGGATTACTCCCTTTACTAAATGTTCACACTATTCCATTACAATATATTCTGGAATTTTCCAGGAAATGGTATCATGGTTTGGCTTGCCAGCTTTAACCCCGTTTCTTTTTTGGAATATTCAGACATTTGCCAATCTCCAATCCTGCATACCTCTTATATTCTCCACAATTTTTCAGAGATCACTCAGTATTCATTATTTCCTAAGTATTTAGGGACTTGAATTAGGGTGGCTAGATGTTTTCTAATCATCTCATTTGTCCTGTGTCTCAAATGCTTTATGCTTCTCATGCAAAGATAAAACAAAATCAGAGTTGATTCATTTTGTCTTTTTTTCATGATCCAGTATCAATCATTCAGTTCATCCATCATGGCGTATTTTCTGTTTGTCTTCCTAGCATTCAAGTATTGCAAAAATTTTAAGTTTCCATTAAAGTCAAATTGAGGTCACAGAGTTTCAGCAGTCATTTGTAGGTGACTATATTATTTTAATGGGCAGCAGAAAATCTTAGATAAAATATTTAATAGCATACAATCTATCTCATCATTCAGGGTAGTCATGGTCTATAGAGTTGTCACAAACAAAAGGGTTAGGTTTCTGTTAACCTCTGGTCACAGTATTTACTTTAGCACTTTAGAGTGATCAGTGAATTTCCTCTTCTTTTTTCTGGATGTATTGTACTGTTGATTCATTAACATTGAACTGAAGACCATCAGCATTATAACTCATGCCTGAATGAAGTTTATCTAACACATATATTTTCCCCATAAAATTCATCACAGGCTTCTTCAGTACTATGCTCAAGAGCCATTTTAAATAAAGAAATCACCAAAAAGAAGCATCAAAATGCAAAAAAAAAAATACCGTAAAAAGGACACTTGTTTACAGCATGAAAGCTGAAACAAAAGAGAACAGCGTAACTTCTTCAACCTGAGCTGGGAACACATGCAGGTGACTCAAATTTTTTGTTGCTCATGAATGACCATGAAAGCATCAAAGTATTGTTTCCAGGGTTAGAAATAAATTTGACCAAGAAGGCAAATTCACAAATACAAAATCTTTGAATTTTGAACCACCTATAAAAAGTTAAAAGCCTTTCCTTAAGACTGATGAAAAGGAGGATGACTTTGTTTCATTACACCTATCACAAGTGTAAGAAACTCAAGGGCAGGGGTAAGGGGGTGTGGGTGGGAAGGTGGTCCATACTTGAGAACTCTCATAAGGAAACTTCTTCTACTAATGTAAATCAGCAACTCTTTTGAAATACATAGTCCTAGAGATTTGTCTGGGGCATTGTAAGGTTAGAGGACTTGTCCAGGGCATCATGTCCCTCCTCATTTCCCACCTGGCTGCACTCACTTTGCAATTTGTATGCCCTCAGGAACCCTATCATTAAAAATCTCATAATCACTTCATCAGTACCCTCTACCCCTCCAGTTAGAGGGTGGAGCTATGAACTCTTCAAGCTTCATTTAAGGAGGGAGCACAGGAGAGATCTCATTTCCCACTAGGATGCACTCATTTGGACTTCTCTACTCTGTGCCACCCTCTCCCTCCTTTCACTTTTGTGTATTGTCTTCCACTACTAGATTGTAAGCTCCCTGAGTACAGGAGCTGTCTTTTTCATCAGTAATCCCACTTGAACCCCTTAGAGCTTAGCCCAGTGCCTGGAATGTAGGCTTTTAACAAATATTTACTGACTATTCACTGTTGACTATTCTCCAAACGTGGGACTCCAATCTAAGCTTCCTGACTCCAAGGCTGCTTCCTTTGCCACAAGGCACCTACTTCCTTATCAGTACCTGAATAAAATCTTTAGTGAAAAATGAAGTTAATTTATTAACTTCTCTCCCCCCAATAAACTAAATTTAGTTTTATCAGAAGTTAATCTGACATTTTATGAAAGTCCTCTGAAATCTGTCCATCATCTACAAATAACCAACTTTAAAAATGACTACATAAGCTTTTGAGGTTGCTGACTATTTCACCCTGCAATGCCATAAATGCTTCTCTGTTGGCTTAACTAATTTTAGTTATTTTACTTCTTGTGGTTTTTGAAAAACGGTATTTAACAGTGGGGGTATAGTAATCTATCCTGCCTTACAGGAAAACAGAAAATAGAAGGGACAAGAGAAGGGGGGGGTGATAGAAGGGAGGGCAGGTTAGGAGGAAGGGGTATTCAGAATTAATGCCATCTTGGGGTGGGGGCAAGGATGAGAAGGGGAGAAAATCCAGAACTCAAAATCTTGTGGAAGTGAATGTTGAAAACCAAAAATTAATGTTTAATATTTTTTAAATGGTATTTAAAGATATTGGCCCAGTTACACAACTTAGGTTCCAAATATTTAACATCTCCATCCTGAACTTTTATGTTTTTGAAGATTAAATAGAATTATAATTTCATTTAATTTGAATATGGGACAGAATGGACAATTTGGGGCAATGGACAAATTGCTTATTGAGCATTTAATGTTGGAATTAGTTGAACACAAATTATGAAAGTCTAATTTGTTCGAATGAATTACACAGTATTCTTTGACAGAAATGTTACAGCTCCAATGTGGTAAAATATTTTACATGTTTGCAGAATGCTTTCTCAACCAAAAATTCAAAGTGTATACTAAATTTCATCCTTATTCATTCTTGCTCAAAGTGTTAAAATAGCTTTTAAATTCCATCATTATTTAGTCTTATTAAGATGACTGAAAAAATATCTACAACTCAATATTCTTTTAAAAATATTTAAAAACTGAAAGCAATCATTACAGAAATGAAAAGTTGACCATTGTTTAATAGAGATGTTTGCTAGCCTGTTTTCTATTCATGACAATAATATTTCAGTGCAAAGAAACTGTCAAGAGGCTTCTTATAATCTCATAATACAGAAAAGTTGGAGCTTATATTAATTGTATTTGCATATGTGATTAGGCACGCGAAATCCTTTTACAGTCAATGTATTTTTCCTAAAAGTGGGGAATTGAGATCATGTAGCTTTTTTCTTACTAGGACTATTAGTTCCTCACCATTTCCACAAACAGCTTCTTCAGTTAATAAGACCTTCAGAGTATGCCTGCTTATATAACCAAAATGATTGCTATATAATTAGGAAATCTGAATGTCACATTTCTTTAGGTATGTGTATGTGTGTGTATATTATATATATATATATATATATATATATATATATATATATATATACACATATATACATACATATATACATATACATACAGACACACACATATATATTTAAGAACATAGGTATTCTAAAATGTTGAACCAGATTCTTTTCTGTAAATGAAAAGTGCAAGTAAGAACTATGGGGACAATTTTTAAAAGTACATTTATTAGTCATATTTTGATATCACTGTGTACAATCTCAAATAGAAATTATAAATCATGTAATTCATAGAAAAATTCACAAGGTGCTAAAAATAATTTGAACAGCATTTTTTTCATTATTATTTACAATTAATTCAACCTACCTTGGTAGAAATGTAATTGTGTTAAAGTAGCTTTCCCTCTTCCCATCTCCCCCAAAATGATAATTTCACAGTAACTTACTACGATAGCATCACTGATATCACCTGTCAGAACTGGAACAATCACAGTAACAAGTTAAATAGGTGGGAGAGCAGCATGATCAGAACTGTAAATAAGTACCATCAATTTTTAAAAGGTAGGATAATGAAATTATTTCTACATTTGATTTTCAAAAGCTTTGTTTTGAGCATCAAATGATGAATTGGGAGGTAATATTTAGCGACAAGTAAAAGCTTCAAAAAAATTTTTCACATGGCTTGTAACCATCCAAGATTCATCCAAGTAAAATGGGAAACATGTTAGCAATAGACCAGTAAATAGTTAAGATTCAGATACAGAAAACACTGTGGAAAAAAAATCACATTTTATTGGTCACCCCCTTTTTTATGCTGTTTTGCAAACAAATCTCAATACAAACATAAAAACAGGTCTTGCTTATTAACTAGATTATTAATATTTTGGATTTTATTTACAAGAAAAAAATTTTGCACAAAAAGGTACATCCAAGAATTATGGGCATGTCTAGTAGTAGAGGCAGAATTACTTACTTCTCTGTCCTCAAACATGCAAATATCCTTATACATATTCAATGAAGGAAAAGTGCATGTAAGAGTGAACATTATTTAAAACCACATTCTTAGAATTCATTGTACTCGATTATAAAAATACAGTTAAGTTAAATATGTTGTATGGAAATTCATTGTCTATATTGGTACTAAATATTTTCTCATTGTCATTAAAGAAGAAACACAGTTAAATTAATTTTAAGATGGTTTTAATTAGCTTCAAGAAAGACTAGATGAAATCTTTAAAAGACATTAAACAGGAATAATTCTGTCTTCCAAAGTAAAAATTACTATATACTGTGAAGTTGGTAACACATTTGGACCTAATGAAATGTTTTGACTTTCTGTCCAAATTAATTTTTTTTCTTCAGGTTTTTTTTTTAAATAATGATTCCCAATATAGCTAAAATTGAGTCAGATAAAAGTCTTTATTTGGACCAATACTTGTAAATTAAAACAATATTCAGCATTTATCCAATTATGACATCTAAGTTAAAAAAGTATGACACAGTTGAATCCAGAATAGGGTGTGTCTTCATCTACTGACTTGGAACATGTATTTCAATTATAAATGTTGTTAACTCTTCAAGAAAAAAGTACCTCCTGGAAATTAATGTGCATAACAACTCTCCCATAATGTACATAGTCATTATCCCCAAAATATTTGTGTACATGGTAGTTCACTTAAAACTCAAACCCATTTTGACTATTTTTAGGTGCTACACCGTATATGTACAATCTGTGGCCATACAAAGTAAAAAAACAAAAAAAGGAGAGGTGAAAGAAAAGGAGACAAAAAGGAAGAAAATGTCCTTCCCTATAACAGCCAGGAAAATACTGGAGATTTTAGTTACATTGGTGAGAATATTTAAGTAACTGAAGAAATTCAGTTTGGTGAAATAATTTATAGGAAAATATTGAAACTACGCTATTGTTAAATTTCCCCTTTTTTAGAATTAAGAATTGTTCAAGTATAGAGCCTTTGGCCTTCCTACCACATAGCAAAGAAGTTCTTTGGTGACCAATGACAAAAATGTACCCTCTTTTTTTTAAAGCAGTATAGGAGTATCTCAATTGAGTACTTGCAGTCACAGAGTATAAAATTCCTAATCCATCAGCATTTGAAAATGTTTGAGAAATCATCATAAATGGAAACTTAGTTTTTCTTAGATCTTGAGGGGAAGAAGGCAAGATGATAAAAATAACTGAGGGTCTTCACTGTCCTTAAAGAACCAGCCCAACCTTAATTGCCGATGTTAAAAAGAAATACACTATGTGTTTCTATAGTTCTTTCTGCTGTGTTTTCTTTAATTCAAGCCACAAGACTACCCATAGGGTTCTTATGGGACATGCAGCATGTGGCTTATAAATAAAAATAAAGTTCTATTAGGTAGTATAACACATTAAGAGAAAGAATTGCTAGATTCTCTTGGAACATAAAAAATAGACTGCCTCCGAGGAGTCCATGGAATATATTCAGGTACTTATGGAACACCTAAAACAGAAAACAAAAAAACAAAAAAAGTCAATAATACTTAACATTCAAGAGCTAAACAATTATAATGAAGTTAGTATATACTTAGTATATACTAAAACATTTTTTTGTTTTCTAATAGCAAAAACAGAAGGCAATGTAAATTAAACTCGACTACACAAAAATTTCATGCAAATTGAATGAAGTTAATAGCTACTCTTAAAGCACTTCACATTGCATTTAATAATAATCAGTCACTGATGTTATCTCTGGTTTCAAATATATGTGATGTGACTATAATAATGATGTCACTAAAACTGAAGATATGAAGACTGTGACCATATTTGTTTTGGTAACCTAATTCAGACTTTGAAGAGGTGCTATGAATCTTAATCTTCCACAAATTATAAGATCTTAAAATATTAAAATTTATATTACAAAATATAATACTTTGATATTAGATGGAAGATAGGCACAATTACTCCTCAGCATTTTTTCTTAATTTCTTTTTCTATTACACTATACAGTTACTAATAACAATGGAATTGTTCCTAAAGGTGCATCAAATTAAGTTTAGAGAGCTCCCTCAAAAACATTCAGATACTTTCACAAAACCTCTAATAAGGTAAAAGGGGCTAGGGTATTAATTACTGCCATAGAAGCAAGACAATCTAAGTGTATATTGAATCTGGGAAACATGTAATATAATCTTTGCCTCCTAAATGCAAGTGCAACTTATTTACAATTTTCTCAATAATTAAATGGAATAAATTGCTTTGGAAAGAGTCACTTAGAATGATACCATGAAGGCATTTTTTTAAATTCAAATATAAAGCTTAAAATGTTTTTTTTTCCTTACCTAATGCTAATTTAAATAATTCTACTTTAAGTTTAAATACAGTGATGAGCTGATTATATTTCCAAAACTTAAAATTTCTCATTCACAATTTAAGAGGCTAAAGGATTAAGGAAACACATCATGACTATTGGTATGAGAAAAATAATCAAATCACAGTTAACAGTAGTGCTATTTTAAGATTATTATTTATTGTTGATTCATTATTGTTATGAAAGTCAGGATGAGGAGAGTCAGCTATTATTAACAGCTTTAAAAAGACATTACTAATGTTTACGTCAGCAGTGTTTACCATGTATCTTGAATCCATAGATCAATTTTCACTTGCAAAAGATACTGCAGTGATATAGTCTTTCAGCTTTTAGCCAGAAGGAATTTGGGCAAAATAAGTGGTTATAATTAAGAAGAAACACCACCTCACATTTGGGATTACTATAACAGTGACCCAGCATACTTAAAGGACTTTTCAGTGATTTCCTTTAGCAAGGTTTTGACATCTATAAAAAAAAAAACTGATTCTCAAATATACCAATATTTTCCTCATAAAATTAGATACTAACTTTCAGCAATCACCCTGAATTTCATTTTATAGAATTAATAAGATTCAATTTTGCTTGGTTTCTGTTTATGATATTGGGATGCATGTCTCTTTGCCCCCAAAGTATAATCTTCTCTCCTTTAAAATTGTATTTAAGCTGTTTCTCTCTTCTTCTGACTTTCCCTAGAAAGTCTAACTACACAGATCTAAGATCTATTTTCTAGGTTCTTCTATACTCAAATACCAAAAAGTACTAAAAACCTTTTCTGTTGAGTTATCACAAACAAATACATTTAAGCTACCTCGTAAAATTTTCTAATTCAAATAATAACTAACCTGAGATGTACCTTGCTCCGATTAACATTACCATGCTAGTCACTATAAAAAAGCCCAATGGCACACTACAGAAGATATTAGGGTCACCTGCTGTCATCCAAGGAAGAGGGAATTCCAGTAAAGCAAACCAAAAGAGAGACACATTAAAAAGTGCAAATTTGTGTTAAGAATCACATGAATAGCAAAACAAGAGTCACAAAATAATATAGTATACTTTCAAAAGCTAGCAAGGTTATATTAAATCAAAAATATAATCAATATTGAAAGCTTATGACAGTTGGCAAACAATACATAAGCATGCAACAATAAGTAAGCCAAGAACATACTTCATATGAGCTAGGCAAATCCAAAAAGAATTTTGGGGGAGTTGAAATTATAAGTTTAGCTTTGCTGCTGAACTATAGAGCATACTTAAATGAGTGATACAAGTCCCCGCCCCCCTCCAAAAAAAAAAAAGCTTGAATCACTCTCAGATTAGCAATTCTTTGGATTCCAGGGAAGAGTTATATTAGCTTACTGAAAATGGACACCAAACCTTATTTTCTGGTTTATTTTCTGGATATTAAGACTTTCTTTTTAAATGTATATTAAATAGGATTTGAATATTCAGGAGAATTAATTGCTACTAATTGAAATATCAATATAGAACACTGAAAAATAGATATGATTGCTTAAATAGACAACCTAAGTGGAAGGTTCTGCAATTCCCTGAGAAATTTGGTAATGTTAAAATCACCTTTAACTTGGGTAACAAAAACAATAATTTAAACAGATAAAAATGTTACTCTTCCCCAGACAATGAGGAAATCTCACCTGATCAGATTAGCTTGACTTTTTTTTTAAATGCCATTTGCAGATTTCACTATTATAAAGAAGTTAGATAGAAGTATGTAAAGCAGAAGGAAATATAAAAAAATTATTTGTGCACTAAATGCTAATTTCTTTGCCTTAACAGAGCAATATTCTCCCACCCCCATCTTAACGAGAGATATTAGTAGATAAAGCAATAGATTAAAATCTCAAGGGAAAAATAACTGCCAATTCATGAAAAGCTGAGATAGACAATTTAAAACAACACAGTAACAGGATCATATGAGACAAATTACTTTTACAGAAGGAGAATCCTGTCTTAGTGTGCTTTACAATGTGCTCCTGTTTGTCCTGTCTCAAAAAACTATAAACATCTCTACAACCCAATCATGTTTCAAGCATTAGATACAATAAATTTGTCTGGTGAAGGAATTGTAAGACATTCATGCGTTCACAAATCTCCATGTATTTTGATACTTCAAAAGCTTGTGATCTCCTATGTGAATAATTTCTTGACAATACTGATTACTCCTCCTCTCTATAACTTAGTAGATGATGTAAAGGAGCTACTGTGGCTAAAAAAAAAATTTGTCATTCTTTGGCCAACCTAGTAAGTCTCTCATTTAGTGGCAAATCTTTTTAAGGAGGAGGTTATTGTTTTGGCAAGGGAGAACATTTGCACTTGAATATATTTACAACAAATTAAATATTCTGGATAAATTAAATATTTGTTTCAAAATGCTGCTTTGGTGAATTTCTGGAGATTTGTTTAGCATATTCTTCTTGCTATTTGTGCCTGCCCTAGAAGTATGTATAGTAAAAAGTGCCTGGGTTAATTCAAAGTCATCAAAATTTGTGATGTGTTTTACGTAGTATGGTATAGTAGTTTATAAAGTAGTTCACAGTGCCTTGTGTTATTTATTATCTTCCAAGATCTGAGAAATCAACACTGGAACAACAGCAAGTCAGGAAAGACTACCAAATACTCTTCTTCTCTTCCACTTTACTTCAAAAAGAATCACCTCCACAATGTTTTGAAAACCTTGTCAAATTCTATGATGGAAATCAAAATAAATTCAAAGGCAGTTTCACCAGAAGGATTTGACATAGGAAAGGCATTAATGGCAAAATACAGTTTGACAAATTAGAAAGTTATCTAGCATATAATCACCCTATATTATAAAACTGTTTCAAATTTCTACAGCTAGATACTAGCTTGAATGCCCTTCCAAGCCAAACAGGATTCCACCTGTATAAGTAGGTATTATCATGGTTTAGAAGGGAAACATTTCGTACTTTGCTAAGGATTCTCATTCTGAATCTGTCATACATCTAGAGACTTTGCCCAGAAAAAAGTGCTAACTAAAAGTATATATGTTCATAGAGGCAGAGCCAAGAGGGTGGAGTGAAAGCAGGGACTTGCCTGAGCTCTCTCTCAAACACCTTCAAGTACCTTTAAAAAGTGAATCTGAACAAATTTGAGAATGGCATAACCCACGAAGAGACAGAGTGAGGCAGATTTCCATCCTAAGACAACCTGGAAAGTCAACAGGAAGGGTCTGTTGCACCAAGCTGAGAGAAGAGCACAGTCTAGTGCACGTGACACAAGCACAGACCTGGCCCCAGCAAACCCAGAGAAGGCCTCGAGGGACTCAATTACTATGGCAGTTTCCAGACTTCTCAACCCACAAACACCAAAGACAACTTAGAAGGTCAGTAGGAAAGGTCTGTTAGACCTGGGTGGAAGGGCAGCACAGTCTGGGCCTGGCTCTAGCAAATCACGAACAGGCTATGGGAATCGGCAGCAGCAGCCACTGCTCCTAGAGCTAACAGCCCACAGATGAACGTTTGAAAATCACCTATTTTGACTTCCAGGAGCCCAGATGGCAGACTAAGCATTAAGTGGCTCCCACACTCCCTTACTGATGTTGAAAAATCCAGAACATCGCTCCAGGAAAAAACCTGGAATAGTGGAGGCAGCAAAAAGACAAGGTACACCAAGTCTTTTATCTTAGGAGGGTAGGGGGATTAATGGGAAAGGTCCTTCTTGTTGAAGCTGAAGGGTTTGAGTAGAGGACAGGAGGCATCCTGGCAAGCCAGTGGCAAGCCCCACCTTAGCAAACAGGTTGCAGATCCTGAGCCCCAGGGTGGCGAAGCAGGGAAGCACCAACACCAGGCACACAACAGCTACCACCACCAGCTCCAGCTCAACACCAAGTAAACTACTAGACACTTCCAGCCTCCAGATGCCAACATCTGAGGCCCCAGAACACAAAACTAGTCATCAGGCCGCTATCCCCCAGCACAAGAAGCCTGTGACAGTGCCTCCGGTGCCCCAGAAGCAAAGAGCAGCTTTAAAAGCCAGAAAAAAGGCAAACAACATGAGCAAGAAGCAACACAGAAAAACAATAACCACAGAGAAGTATCTTGGTGAAAAGAAAGCTCAAAACACAAATTCAGGAGAGGAAACACTGTCAATATACCCACACCAGAAACCTCAAAGAAAAATGTGAACTGGTCTCAAGACAAAATAGCCTTCTTAGAAGAGCTCAAGAAAGATTTTAAAAGTCAAATAACAGAGGCAGAAGAAAAACTGAACAATACCTTTAAAAATACAAATGACAAAAATGGAAAAAAAGGACACTGAAGAAAAAAACTCCTTAAAAAGTAGAATTGGCCAAATGGAAAAGGAGGTACAAAAGCTAACTGAAGAAAACAATTCATTAAAAATTAGAATTGGGCAAGTGGAAGCTAATGACTCTATGAGACATGAAGAATCAGTCAAACAAAAGCAAAAAAATGAAAAAAATAGAAGAAAACATAAAATACCTCACTGGAAAAACAACTGACCTAGAAAAGAGATCCAGGAGAGATAATTTAAGGATTATTGGTCTACCTGAAAGGCATGATCAAAAAAAGAGTCTGGACAGCATCTTTCAAGAAATCATCAAGGCAAACTGCCCTGAGGCCCTAGAACCAGAGCGTAAAATAGTCATCAAAAGAACCCACCAATCACCTCCTTCAAAAGGTTCCAAATTGAAAACACCAAGGAATATTGTACCAAATTCCAGAATTAACAGGTCAAAGACAAAATCCTGCAAGCAGCCAGAAAGAAACAATTCAAATATCATGCAACGGTCCGGATTACACAGGACCTTGCAGCTTCTATATTAAAAAATCAGAGGGCTTGGAATATGATATTCCGTAAGGCAAAGGAGCTTGAATTACAACCAAGTATTAAATACCCAGCAAAATTGAGCATAATGTTTCAGGGGGAGGAGATGGAAATAGGTGACTTCCAGACTTTCCTAATGAAAGACCAGAGCTTAACAGAAAATTTGATCTTCAAATACAAGACTCAAGAGGGGTGTAAAAAGGTAAATTGGAAAAGGGGGAAAAAAAAACATGTTATCCAATAAGGGCAAACTGTTTACATCCCTACATGGGAAGATGATACTTACAAACTCTTGAGAATTGTATCTTTATTACAACACTTAGAAGGAATATATATAGACAGAGGAGGTGGGTTTAAGGTGACTTTGATGTGAAGATTAAAAAACCTAAGTGGTGAAAAGGGATTATAATGGGAGAAGAGGAGAGGAGGAAACAGAAAAGGGTAAATTACATCACACAAAGAGGCATAAAGACATCAAATTACATTAGAAGGAAAGAAGGGAGGAAGATGAGCATTGTTTGAACTTTATTCTCATCACACTTGGCTCAAGGAGGGAATAACATACTCAGGTATAGAAATTTAATTTACCCTATAGGAAGTAGGAAGAGAAAGGGGAAAGAAAAGGGAGGGGGGATATAAGGCAGGGAAAAAGTAGTAAGGGGGAAAGGGGAATAGAAGGCAGGGCAGACTGAGGGAGGCAGTGGTCAAAAGCAAAACTCTAGTGAGGAGGGACAGGGAGAAAGGAGAAAGAAAAGCATAAATGGGAGGGAGGGGACAGGATGGAGAGAAAGACACAGATAGTAATCATAACTGTGAATGTGAATGGAATGAACTCTCCCATAAAAGAGAAGGGAATAGCAGAATAGATTAAAAACCCTAATCCTACAATTTGTTATTTACAAGAAACACATTTGAAACAGGGGAGTACACACAGAGTAAAGGTAAAAGGCTAGACTAGAATATATTATGCTCAGCTGAAGTAAAAAAAGGAGTAGCATCCTGATCTCAGACAAAACAAAAGCAAAAATAGATCTAATTAAAAGAGAAAAGGAAAGAAATTACATCCTGCTAAAAGGCACCATGAGCACTGAAGTAGTATCATTACTGAACACATATGCAGCAAGTGGTACAGCATCCAAAGTCTTATAGAAGAAGTTATAGGAGTTACAGGAAGAAATGAACAGCAAAAGGTTGGGGGACCTCAATCTCCTCTTCTCTGAACTAGATATAACTAACCACAAAATAAGCAAGAAAGTTAAGGAGGGGAATAGAAATTTAGAAAAGTTTGATATGGTAGCCCTCTGGAGAAAACTGAATGAGGATACAAAGGAATACATCTTTTTCTCAGTAGTACATGGCACCAACACAAAAATCGGTCATGTATTAGGACATAAAAACCTCACAAGCCAATACAGAAAGGCAGAAATATTAAATGCATCCTTTTCAGAACATGATGCAATAAAAAAAGAAAAAGGACCATGGAAAGATAAAACTAAAAATTAATTGGAAACTAAATAACCTAATCGTAAAGAATAAGTGGGTCAAACAATAAATCATAGAAACAATCAATAACTTCATATAAGAGAATGACAATAAAGAGACAACATAATTAAACTTATAGGATACAGCAAAAGTGGTTCTTAGGGGAAATTTTTTATCTCTAAATGCTTGCATGAATCAAATAGAGAAAGAGGAGGTACATGAATTGGGCATGCAACTAAAAAAAGCTAAAAAAAGAACAATTAAAAAATCCCCATTATATACCAAATTAGAAATTCTGAAAAACAAAGGAGAGATTAATAAAACTGAAATTAAGAAAACTATTGAACTAATAAATAAAACTAAGAGCTGGTTTTATGAAAAAAAATAGATGAACCTTTGGTTAATTTGATTAAAAAAAAGAAAAACAAATTAACAGTATCAAAAATGGTAACAATGAATTCACCACCAATAAAGAGGAAATTAAAACAATAATTAGGAGCTATTTTGCCCAACTGTATGCCAATAAATTCGACAACTTAGTGAAATGGATGAATATTTACAAAAATATAAATTGTCAGATTAACAGAAAGAGGAAGTAAAATGCTTAACTAATCCCATTTTAAAAAAAGAAATTGAACAAGTCATAAATGAACTCTCTAGGAAAAAAACTCCAGGACCAGATGGATTTATAAGTGAATTATATCAAACATTTAAAGAACAATTGATTCAAATACTATATAGACTATTTGGGAAGACAGGTGAAGGAGTCCTATCAAATTCTTTTTATGACATAAATATGGTTCTGATACCTAAACCAGAAGGAGTCAAAACAGAAAAAGAAAATTATAGACCAATTTCCCTAATGAATATAGATGCAAAAATTTTAAATAAAAATACTAGCAAAAAGATTACGGCAACTTATCACAAGAATAATACACTATGACCAGGTAGGATTTACACCAGGAAGGCAGGGCTGGTTCAATAAAACTATCAGCATAATTGACCATAACAACAAACTTACAGAAACTATTTGATTATCTCAACAGATGTAGATAAAGCTTCTGACAAAATACAACACCCATTCCTATTAAAACATTGAAGATAAAAACTGCTAGGAAAACTGGAAAATAATATGGCAGAAACCAGGCATAGACCAACATCTTATATCATATACCAAAATAAAATCAAGATGGGTACACGATTTAGCTATAAAAGCTGATACTATAAGCAAACTGGAAGAGCAAGAAATAGTTTAACTGTCAGATTTATGGAGAACAGAAGGATTTATGACCAAACAAGAGATAGAGAACATTATGAAATACAAAATTATTACATTAAATTGAAAAGTTTTTACACAAAGCCAATGCAACCAAGATCAGGAGGCAAGCATTGATAGGAAGGAATTGATAAATGGTGAAAGGATATAAACAGGCAGTTTTCAGAAGAAGAAGTTAAAGCTATCTATAGTCACATGAAAAAAATGTTCTGAATCACTATTGATTAGAGAAATGCATGCCAAAACAATTCTGAGGTACCGTATCACACCTATCAGATTGGCTGGAGAAGATGTGGAAAATTGGAACATGAATGCATTGTTGGTGGAGTTGTGAACTGATCCAACCATCTTGAAGAGCAATTTGGTACTATGCCCAACGGCTATAAAACTGTGTGTACCTTTTGACCCAGCAATATCACTTCTAGGTCTGTACCTCAAAGAGATCAGATCAATGGGAAAAAGACCCACATATACAAAAATTTATAGCAGCTCTTTTTGTGGTGGCAAAGGGTTGGGAATCGAGGGAATGCCCATCAGCTGGGGAATAGTTGAACAACTTGTGGTATATAAATGTAATGGAATACTACTGTATTCCATACTATAATAATACTATAAGAAATGATGAATAGGTAGATTTCAGAAAAACCTGGACTTATATGAACTGATGTTGAGTGAAGTGAGCAGACTCAGGAGAATGATGTACACAATAACAGCCACAATGTGCAATGACTAACTTTGATAGACTCTTCTTAGCAATGCAAAGATGCAAGACAACTCCAAAGAACACATGATGGAAAATGCTATCCACACATCCAGAAAAATAATATATGCAGTCTGAATAAAGATCAAAGCATATTATTTGCTCTCTTTTTTTCTTTTTTTGTTTGTTTCTTCCTTCTCATGGTTTCTCCCATTAGTTCTAATTTTTCTTTACAACATGACTAATATGAAAATAAGTTCAATATGAATGTATATGTAGAGCCTATATCAAATTGCATGCCATCTTGGAGTAGGGAGAGGGGAGAGATGGTGAGAAAATCTGCAACTCAAACTCTTATAGAAGTGAATGTTAAAAACTAAAAATAAACAAATTTAATTAATTAATTAATAAAAAAGAAGAAACTATATGTTCATTCCAAAACAGTTTTATAAATTTTATCTTAATCTGCTATATGGCATTAAAAAATCCCCCCAACAACTTGCAGTTTAAAAAACAAAATAAACTCAAGAAATTTAACTGTTATACCACCTGGAATACTGACAAGCAGAACCGACCATATTAAGCAATAATTTTTGTCTTAAATAAAGGTTTTGAACACAAAATTGGAGACATTTTTCTTGGCAGCTGTAATCTCCAACACTTAAACTACATGACTATTTATTATCTTGTCCTCTCATGCTAATATAAGAACTGTGGGACATAAAAAGGATAGTGCTCATTAAAGACCATGAGTGAGTTCTATTTAGGTAAAAACAAAGAAGTTACACACAAATAAACTTCCTAGAACAATAAATGAAAAGTAGATTAAGTTATTTGCGTCTAAGGGCAATGCCTTACACTCTTTTATGCAGCCCAAAGCCTAAGCTTATAACACACATTCAGTGAATGATTATTAATATTCAATAGCATCAAAATTGGCATTGCCACTGCCTTAATACAGAAAGCTTATTATCAGAATTTAAAATTTAAAGAAATGGTAAAATTAAATTAATTTGAAGGAAAAAAATGGATTCAAATGAACCCTTTCTGGATGACACAGTGAAAAGAAGGATTCAAGGATAAAAATGCAAGAAGTATTTCACATCAGACACTACCAAAATGAATAGAGTTAACAATGGCAATACAGCAAGGGAAGATTTCTGAACCTTGGGCTCATGAACTTAAAAAAAACCCCTAACAACTAATTATTGTATTTCAGCAGAGTAAGAGTCCAAAGATTTCTTCAACTGCCAAGGAGTCCATAACACACACAAAAAATTTAAAAATCACTTCATGAAAGAGTCTTTTTAAAAGATAAATCCTATGGAAAAATCCTATCCTCATCCAGAAGAACTATGGAGTCTGAATGCAGACAAAGCAGACTATTTTCACTTTTTTCTTTCTCATGGTTTTTCCCTTTTGTTCTGATTCTTCTTTCACAACAAGACTAATGTGGAAATATGTTCAACATGATTGTACATCATGTATCAGATTGCTTGCTGGCTTAAGGAGGGGGGAGGGGAAGGACCAAGGAAGGGAGGGGATGGAGAAAAAAATTCTTATAAAAATCTTATAAAAGTTAATGTTGAAAACTTATCTTTACATGTAATCAGAAAAAAAAATACTTTTAAGCAGGGGAAAAGATAAATGTGAAATCCTGTGCTATTTATTTACCATCTCTACTATGAAGTGTAAAAGCTTCTGTTTTGGAATATGAACAGAATGTGTTCATACTACTTTTACTAAATTTTCTTAATGATTAGTTTATTTCTGTATGCTCTGAATATCACTTTGAAAATAAGGAACTATTAAACTTAAAGGATTGTCTGTAAATGGTTTGCTTTAGGTATTCAGAACCTACTTAAAGGCACCCTGACATTTAGTAACTTTCCCATTTGAGATTTCTTTGGAAATTAAAAGGGAAGAAATTATTTTCCAACTAAGTTATGCCTGCCAAAATCTGTTTAAGTGGTCTAGGAAATTGTTTGCTCTCCTTTATGAAAAATATTCTGAAATTGCAGTGTAGTATAATACATCAAATCATTTTACTTCATTCATGTCAGACCCACATCAGTAAAAAAAAAAATGGTAATAAGGATTTTAAAAAATGAAGTTCGTGAATTTTACCTTTTTTCTTTTAAAAATGTATCACTAATTATTTTTCTCTGTAATAGGAGTAGTAAAATATTGACTGATATGGTAAAACACTTAAGTTTAGTTAATCTTTATAACGTTTTTATATTTAAGAAAAAAATTAGGAAAATCTAAAACACTAACTTTTCCTCTTCAGTAACAAAGCATTCTTCTTTGACAAATATTTGCTAAACCTATTAAGTTACTTTTGAATAAATCGTAATCAGTATTAATAGTGGCAATAGTTAACTTTACCATTTGCAGAAGGCTGTCCTGTAGCCCAGCCCATTGATTTCTGCACAGCTTTTTTCCAAGTGGCATAACGAAATTCACTTTCTAGAATCAAAAAGGAAAATTTAACTTTTACTGTGATGTTTTAGCCATAAACCACCAAGATTTCCCTTTATTCTGGCCAAATTATCATAAATGATAAACTGGTACTTCTGTTATAAACTATAATCATTTATCAAGCTTGCTTTTTTAATAGAGAAAAAGGTTTATTATCACAATGCAATATTTAAAAAGAAAAATATTTATTTATGCCCTTAATGCTGGAACTTCAAATAATACTTTCTTTTTTTCTCTCCAGAGGAGAATCTGGAAGCCATAAATTGCATAAATTGCCTGTAAAGTTATTTGAGATTGCAATCAATACACAGTGTAAAGTTTTGGAATTCACTCTAACGTTGTTGAAAGCTAAGCAAAAGTTCATTTTGAAGCTTGTTTTTCAGACAGCATGATACTGGCTTTTCTGCACTAGGAAAAGTTTCTCAATTTATATTAAAGGAAAAATACATGTATATTGACTTTCTACTGGCATTATTATAATCTGAGTAATTCATTACTATAGAAAACATTTTGGCTTCAGGATTTACACCACTCATTTGAAATATTGTTCAGTTGTTTTTCAGTCATGTAAGCTCCTTGAGCTCAGAAGCTGTCTTTCTCTTTCTATCTGTATTCCCTACACTTAGCATAGTGCCTGGCACATAATAAGCACTTAATAAATGCTTGTTGATTGACTCTTATGTAATTCCTGTCCATTTCTTTTAAAAAAAATTCTCAAGGAAGTATCTAACCACTAAGTTTGAGCCCTTCCTTTAGACCATTTTACTACCAACTTAATCCTGAGTTATCCATCTGCTATCTTTCTCTCTCAATATGAATAACCCATCTCCTTTTCTAGGCATAAGGACAGGAACATGTTGTTCAGTAGTTTGAGTTGAGTCTAACTCTTTGTGACTCCTTTTGGGATTTTCTGGACAAAGATGCTGGGTTTGTCATTTCCATCTCCAGATCATTTTACAGATGAGGAATTCACAGGGTCACACAGCTAGTCAGTGTCTGAGGCCAAATTTGAACTCACAAAGAGGAGTCTTCCTGACTCCAGGCCTGACACTGAGCCACCTAGCTGGCCCTCATTTGAATCAGCTCAGTTTTGAGGATGTCTAATATTTTCAGTAATAACTTGCATGACTAAAAATCTATGCTAAAGGAAGGTGGAAACTGTTTCAATTTTTCTTTTCCATTGCCCAGCACAGTGCTATAAACATTATGGGCATTTAACGAATGATCTCAGACTGATGATTGTATGGGCTACATGAATTTAGTTATCTAATTAATTGAGCTTCAATCATAATCTCTATTTGATCTAAGTTCTAGCATGACATGTTAATGATTTTGCCATCTGCCATGGAATCAAATATAATCTACCTCTATACAGATGAATTCCCACTTCATGTGAATCTCCCTAATCTTTTTCCTAATCCACATCACACCAAATGTTTGGGGAAAATTCCATCTAAAATTTTAAATTTCAACATGTCCCAAATGGAACTTACTACTTTCCTCCATAAACAAGCTTTTCTCCCTAAAATTTTCCTACTACTGTTTCAGGTACCCAGGTCTCTCCATCAGTTTGCCTCTCCCTCTCTGCATCTCCCGTTGCTGCCAACTCTTGTGAATTCTACTACATTTTTCATGCATCTTCCTTATAAGTCTGCTTATTCATGTGAACTATAGGTAATTTAAATAAAGAACTTCCTTTTAAACTGGATACACTCTGAAGAGTCGGGCAGGCACTTTGCTTTCAGTGCTGCACATACATTGGACCTTGGGCTCTATAAAACTGGCTATAAGGAGATTCTTCTGGAGATAGAATTCAAGCTACTCTATTACTTTATTGCCCTCAATTTCCTAGATACAATAGGCTGTAAAAATAAATCTATCATAACTCATTTTAAAAGGGTGGGTACTATGGAGAGGAAATTACTGGGAAGTAATTGTTGTGTCAAAACAAAATGCACTGATAAAACATTTTCATCACCAATAATTAGACTTTAATTAGAATACATTTTAGTCAGAAAGCCACCTAGCTAAATATTTCATAATCCCATGTAGTTTTACTCTACAAGTTGTGGATTTTATAAACTCCTGAAAGCTTCTACAAAATTTTGTTTTGGCCCCAGCAAAACTGGGCATATCTGAACTATTCAGATATGTAAAGCACAAAGCAAATTGTAATAAATATACATAATGAGACTGATTTGAAAACAACTGTTATTTTCTAAGTGTACAGAACTTTTCTTACTGTATTTTCCTTGTACTGAGAGTTGAATCTAATTGTTTGCCACACTACTCTCCCAATATTACTTAAAATATCTCTCACATATAAGTGTCTGTGGCTTAGCTCCATTTATTAAAGCAGGTGTTGATGAGGACAAATAATGGTATAGTTACTTCTACTCTTTTTTGCTGCTGTCCCCCAGTCCCAGAAAACATCCTTAACCTCACAATTATTTCATAATATGTGCTATTAGTATCAGAGGGCATAGAGTTAAGACACCATGGATGAATGAGTCTGAAATCAATCAATATATTTGGAAGGATGCTTTTAAAATATATCTTGTATGAAGAACAGTGCTCTAATACTGAAAAGCCAAATATTTTTATAAGGCTAAAAACAAAAACACCCAATCCATCCTAAACTATTGAGTGCACCTCAGTTTTGCTGAAGTAGAGTAGGAAAAAAAAACAGTCAAGAAACATAATGCTTAGCACAGTTCTTGGCACATAGTAGGCACTTAATGTTTACTGATTGATGTAATAGTAAGATTTGCTATTCCCATTATGGAAGTAGTTAAAATCACTGAACTTGAAGTCAGAAAATGTGAGATTTGAGTCTTGGCTCTGCCACTGGCTAACTGTGTGACCTAATAAAATAGGGATGACACTCGCTACTACATGTACGGTTGTTGTGAAGGTCAAATGAGATTGTGGGCATGTATACATAAACATACACACAAGATGATGTATAATGCTTGTAATTATACAGTGTAAAAAATGCAAATTGATATCAATAAGATCCCATGTATCTATATATAGTTTACATAAATATAAGTGTCTACTACAAAACAAATGTACATATTTTAAAGCAGTAGTATCAAGCTCAGAAATGGATGGATTCCTTGTGAGCCACCTATTGACTTATTGAGAACCACAAATTAACATCCATATTGTACAGAATTTTTGTTTTGTTAAACATTTCCCAATTACATTTTAGTCTAGTTGGGCACACTTGGGGAAATTTGTCGCAGCTTTCACACCTCTGCTTTAAAGAATACTCTTTAAAAGAGTTTGTCTTTACCTTCTTCATTGATCTGAGGTTCAAACCGTTCCATTGTGACGGCTGATAAATCTTCAGGGTCAAGACTCCAAACCCCAACTCCTTCTGCAGCACCTGCCGCCATGGCAGCACCCAGTGCTGTTGTTTCAGGCATTGAAGGCTTTACTAAGGTGAAAAAATGCAAATCAGTATAAGCATTAAATATACTTAAAATAGCTTTCAAATTTACAATTTTTGTTCCTATCAATTTTGGGGCATAAATGTTTACTAACCTACTGGTATACAAAGAATATCTGCTTGAAGTTGCATGAGAATTTTATTGTTGGTCATTCCTCCATCTACTTGCAAATGGCTGAGTGGAATTCCACAGTCTTTATTCATGGCATCCAAAATCTTAAATCAATATAATTTTCTAATTAAAATACAGTATCAGATATATTGTAAATAAGCTTTGTAGTATTCATAGAGAAAAATTTTTATTTTATTTCTAGAGATAGGAATTAAAGTTGAAAATATAGGTCAATCTCAAATATCTGTACAGAAATTATCTACTCTTCCCTACTAATCCCATCAATTGTACAAACTAGTTGTAGTATTAGCTTAAAGAAAACAATTCAGGGCAAATCTGCTGCTTTCACAGCTTTTTATATACATATGCAATATATACACGTATATACACTATGCCTTCATTAAATAGCAAGAAGTAAAGAAAATATGATAAACCTGGGCCTGATTTTTTTTTTACCTCTCTTGTTTGGAAACAAACAGCTTCTAATGCAGCAAAGGCAATATGCTGTTTATTGGTGAACTGAGTAAGGCCACAAATAATCCTGAAAACAAACAGAAGTTGTGAAAATCAGAGTATTAGAAGATTGTCTCATCTAACTGAAAATTTCCAGAACAGGCAATTTTTTGGGGGGTAGAGTAGCAGGGGTTGAATTTCATGAGGAGAGTATACTGGGATAGCACTGAAGAAGTAACATTTCTTACATACCCTAGTTTTATATCTATGAAATAAAGAAACATTAAACTACTCTAGTTTAGACAATGTCCCAGATTATATAATTTCTCCACAAACATGAGGAATCAAAGATATTGAAACAAAATTTAACAAGAAGCTCTTGTTAAATGATTTGCATGTCCTTAGTACTGGGAAGTCCTAGAATTACATTACCCCTAGGTCTGAAAAAGGTTTGAAAAGTTTCCCTCAAATTACTTAAAATATCTTTAAAATGAGGGAGCTATGACATTAAAGCAATTCAATAAAAGCATCAAGACAGAAATAACTATATTGTATTTTTATCCATACCCTCTTGCACTAGGCTCCCAGTATGGTGCATATAATCCTGAGAATGCTGGAACAAAATAGCAGCCATAGGAAGTGCCCACCTCGTTAGCAAGCTTTTCTAATATGGGAAGAAAAAAAATCTTAAAATAATACATAGAAAAAGATAACTGTTTAGTGTTGCTTCCTGCCCTAATGTAACTAGGACAAAGATTTTTTGTCTCCTACTAGTACAGCAAAAGATATTCTCTTTATTTTAGAGAATTTTAAATAACTACTATTCTATCTAACAACGTAACCCTGGCCTCCAACCCCACTCCAGATAAAAATGATACTACAGAAGTAAAAGGTAAAGTATTAGGTAGTTCCACTTTCGTCTTCAATAGCCTGGATTGTTCCTTCTACTTCGTAAGTTAGTGAGTGAAGTGGGCCCTAGTTATATTTATTTTTTTCACTTGTCAGTCATTTGACCAGCAACACACTTTTGGATATCACATTCCTCCATCAAACTCAAAAAATGGATTGAAGCATACATAGGTTTATCAAAAGTTTGTTTTGTGGGTTTCCCAAATTCCCAAAGAATTTATCAGCTACTGTATTTGGCTAGTTGGTCCTCCCCTGATATATAACCTTTGAAGCCCAGGCTTACACTAACACAGTGACCAGCAACAGACTAGAGCTTTTGTACACTGATAAGGCTAATGTGAGGAGAGTAATGAAAATTTTTAAAAACTTATTATTCAAAGACAGAACAAAAAGCTGTAGGTTTAATCAGCATTATTTAGGCTCTTTGAGCCTTGAGCTTTTGGAATATTGCTTCTTTTTGGAAATCTTTGAATTGTAATTACAATAAACTTTTGAGTTTAGAGTTTATAGCCCATCAACAATTCAACAACCACAGATTAATAATTTTTGCTCATTATAAGATTTTATGAAACATTTCATTTTCATGCTTTTCAAATCTCAACTTGGATTAAACTGATGTCAATTTAATGGAACAGAATTAACCCCCATATAATTATATATGTGGAAATAAACAATTGGTGGCTGTGCATCATATACGATATATACTTGTATGAATGTATACATATCTATCCAAGGCTTGGAATAACGTTAACATAAACATTTATAACAAAATGTTTATGGATGTCCTGCAGTATGGTAGAAAAATGCTGGGTGTGTGCTTCTCAGGCCTGGTTTTAAATCCTGCCTCTGCTGCCTCCTATCTATCGATTAGGCCTTGGTTTCCTCATTTCTAAAATGATGGACTAGATGACTACACTACATGACTACTCTACTACTTCCAGCTCTAAATCTATGATCCTGATTCAGATTTTCTAACATTTCAGGACTACCAAAACACAAAAAACAAAACCACACTCACCAATTTCCTCTGAAGACTTTAAAATACCAAGATTGTCTCTTAGCCAGCGAACAACAGCACCAGCTATAGCAACAGATCCCTAAGGGGAAAAAAAATCTTAAATGGAATTTATTCTTACAGTCCAGGAAGAGAAGTTTATCACTATCACCCCACTGTGGAGGCTATCTGTAAATTCACTGAACTAGTAAAAGAAAATTGACATAACTATTGCATGTATATGTACATATGTGTGTACATATCTATGTATCTTATTCTTATATATCTATATATCTATATTTATATATCTATATCTATATCTTAGCTAGGTGGTACAATGGATAGCGTCGCTGGGCCCAGAGTCAGGAAGATTCACCTTCCCGAGTTCAAATCTGGCCTCTGACACTTACTAGTTGTGTGACCCTGGACAAGACCCTTAACCTGTTTGCCTCAGTTTCCTCATTTGTAAAATGAGCTGGAGAAGAAAATGGAAAACCTCTCTACTATCTTTGTCAAGAAACCCCAAATGGAGTCAGGAAGAGTAGGACACGACTGGTTTTAAAAACATCTGAAATGAATATACAGATCATATACATTATGTGTATTAGCAAAGGGAAGTCAATAAGATAAATTTTCATCGTATAGAGTTATAGCATACACCTTTGTTACTTTGTCTGAATATAGGGTAATTTTTTTGTCTGTTTTTGAAAACTGAAGATATGTTTAAAGTCACCGTGTTGTATGTGTATGTTTCATGTACACATGCTTACATGTAAATAAATATATGCACCTTTTAGGGGTAGTTTTTTGTTCAAAATAACAGCAAATTCATTAATTATGACATTTACAGGTCAACTTTCAAGTAAACATATGTTTCAAGAATTTTATAAATTTATTGTCACAACTATTATCTATTAAGAGTTCTGTTCCATGAATTTTTACTAATATAATTAAATACCAACTGATTTACACTTCTTAGAAGGGGTCTATTTTAAATCAAGTGGAGAAGGTATAATGACCTAAAAGCTAAAGAAAAAAAAGACTATGCCTAACAAAAGAGCTACATAGCTAAGTTATAAATTTGTTAATATATTTTATGCATGTTATTTACATCTAACACTCAGTAATTCAGTTTTAATATGCTTTCTGCAACCACTTCCCTTGTACTGTATTTTCCACCTAGCTCAATTCTACTATTCTCCAGTCTTCTTCCTCCATTATGCCCTTTAATTCCTACTGAAATCATTCAACGTCCCTTCATCCTGGTTATCTTTTCATACTTTTTACATCTTATCTTACAAAAGCCTTGCTCTCTGGAAAATTTAACATTTCCGGTCACCTTCCCCTGGACTAATCATTCTACTTCTCATGCCCTTTAACATGCTGCCTCTTCTTCCTTCTGTCCTATACTCTTTATTTCCACTGAAGTTTTTGGACCCTTCTTCTGCCATCACTCACCAACTCTTCTCCTTTGAGGTCAGTCTCTATTCTTGTTGCTATGATCTACTAGTTTCCAAGTGGCTGGTCTTTCTCTCCTAAGTGCTCTCCCCCAACAACAACAACAACAACAACAAAAACCTTTCACATTTAGGGACCTTAATACACATGCTGGTGTCCTCCTTTTATCTCACCACTGCTCATAACTGCTACTGAACTCCTATTCTCCTCTCTCACCACATTCCTTTCCTTCTAACTCTTCCTCTGTCTTGCTCCTAATTTTTGCACATTGCCTTCCCAATGAGAATGTTAGCTCTTTGAGAGCAGGGACAAAAATAAGAGTTGATTTACAGACTTATAGAAACCACCAGTTACTCCATTCCTTTCTGTTCTCCCAGTCCATCACCTCAGATCTCTCATCATTTTCTCTCCATAGTCTTGACCAACCAACCTGACAAATTAAATAATATACTATCTTCCATGCTTGAATCTCTTGCCACTTCCTCTCCTTCCTCCTTCTCATTTATGCATTGAGCATCCTCAATCACCCTCACTATTTGCCTTCTTCTACTCCTCAACTACCATTATATAATCCTGTCAACTGTGTCTACTACAAATTTGCGATAGAGCACAGGGCCTGGAGTCAGGAACAGTATCTTCTTGAGTTTAAATCTAGCCTTAGCAATTACTAACTGTGTGACCCTGGGCCAGTCTCTTAACCCTGTTTGCCTCAGTTTGCTCATGTCTAAAACGAGTGAGAAAAGGAAATAGCAAATTACTAGTATCTTTGCCATGAAAAACCCAAATGGGGTCATGAGAGTCAGATACAACAGAAAATGACTGAACAACAACAAAAATCATTTGGACTCTCATTGCCATAGGGCATAACTTTTATTGATCCTTGATTTCAACTGCCCTAAGCAGTTAAAAAAAAATTCTAGATCTTCTCTTCTCAAGCTCCCAACTTATTCTTTTTATCGTCTTCTCCTTACCTTTGAGATGCAGGTGGCTCTTCTTGTCAATATCAATTACTCTACTTTTGTCCTCTATCTTATCTCCCCTAGAACCTTGCCCCATCACTCATTGCCTTTATGATAAATATATTAAGTCTCTCCTTATCTATTGGCTTTTTCTCAATTGCCTACAAATACTCATCTATCACATTTTAATTAATTTTCCATTAGCAGAAATTAATTTTCTCTCCCTCATCACTATGCTCATTGGAAAATCAAACTTTTGTAATGAATATGCAAAAGTCAAGCAAAACAAATTCCTGAATTGGTCATATCCAAAAATATGACTCATTCTGCATCTTGAATCCATCACCTGTCAGAAGATGATTTGTAATCATTTCTTCTGAATCATGGTTTCTATAACATTAGGGAAAAAAAGCCCTTTCACTTTTACCCTGCTGTATCCTGGAGTTATCATCCTATAACCTTCTCACTTTTAACACCAAATTCCTAGAAAAAAAAATCATTTATATTTCTATTTACTCACAATTCATTTTACTTCTCCAACCTTAGTAGTGACTCACCCCATAACTCTATTGAAAATGCTTTCTCAAAGGTAATGTTAAGGCCCCACTGCTACTGCCTGATATTCCTCCTACACGTTATCACTCCTTTTCAGGATTCTTTGCTGGATCATCATCCATCTCCTATCCTCTTCGATGAAGGTCCCTTTGGGCTCTTTCCCCTTTTCTCTTGCTACAATTTCTAAGAGAGACTATCTAATATCTAGTTATCTAATATCTTATCATCTTCCATGGATTCAATTCCCATCTCTGAAGAGAGGAAGAGGACTCTCTTTTGCACACACACACACACACACACACACACACACACACACACACACACACACACAAACAGATACCCATACATATACACAAATTTGTGATCTGAATGAATCTCTCTTAGGAGAGTGAAAAACAAATTTAGTATTACCTTGTAAGGAACTCCAAATACAATATTAAAAAATTCAACTGGCTGCCTCTTTTTTCATTTAAAGTCAAATTCATTCGATCAAAACAGTTCTGACAATGAGATAAGAATCACTGAATCTTTAATCTATAAGACAGGGTGAATGCTACCACCAAATTTTCTTTTCCAATCAACAAGCTTGAAAATACCAGACTGGATGGCATATATTTCAATACTGATTGGTATGGTGGAAAGAATGACAAATCTGGCATCAGAAGACAAGTTAATATTCTGGCCCTGCTATTAAATACTACTTGGGTAACTTATTTCAGTCAGTCAATCAATAAATGTTTATTAAGCACCTACTTACTATATGGCAGGCACTGTGCGAAGTTCTGGGGATACAAAAAGTGGCAAAAGATAGTCCCTGCCTTCAAGGAGCTCATGTTCTAATGCAGCAGACAACAAGCAAACAAATAGTTATAAACAAGCTAATACAGGAAAAACTTAACAGAGGAATATATAACAGGGGAATAACAAGGGAATAAATTGAGAGAAATAAGAGGGGTTGGAAAAAGCTGCCTGTAAAAGATATGATTTTAGTTGGGACTTATGGAGGCCAGGGAGTTCGGTAGTTGGAGTAGAAGAGAAAGTTCATTCTGGGCATAAGGGGCAACCAGAAAAAAGGTCCAGAGCTGAGAGATGGAGTGTCTTATTTGTGGAACAGCCAGGAAACCACTGAGTAAAATGTAAGAAGACTGGAAAGGTAGGAGTGGGGTAAATTATGAAGTACTTTCAACACCAGAAGATTTTGAATTTGATGCTGGAGGTGATAGGGAGCCACTAGAGTTGGGGGGGGGGAGATGAGTGTGTGTGTGTGTGTGTGTGTGTGTGTGTGTGTGTGTGTGTGTAAGAGAGAAACAGAGACAGAGACACATGGTCACTCTAGCAAAATCACTGGCAGCTGAATGGAAGATGGATTGCAATGAGGAGAGTTCTCCTCCTCACTTCTGGAGAGGTAGATCAAGCAGTAAACTACTACAATAGTCCAAGCATGAGGTGATATGGGCCTGTACCATTGGTGACAGTATCAATAGAGAGATTAGAGTGCTTCTCCATGAGTGAACAGTTTATTGCTGACCTGGAGGGAAAGCTGAGTCAGCATACAGGACTGATGGAGAAGAAAAGAAGTAGGCAGCTTTCAGAGACTTGGTGTACAGCACTGCATTTGCTTATCTGGACCAGAACACTCACAAACATCAGGACTGATTTGATGAAAATGATGGGGAAATTCAGAAGCTGCTAAATGAGAAATGAGAATGAAACTCCACAGGAGCAGGACAGCTCATCTGTATCCAAGAAGGCAGCAGTTAACTCGATCAAAAGTAGAGGACTGGGGCACCTAGGTGGTGCAGTGGAAAGAACTCTGGCCTGGGAGCCAGGAGGACCTGAGTTCAAATCTGGCCTCAGACACTTGACACTTACTAGCTGTGTGACCCTGTACAAGTCACTTAACCTCAACTGCCTCAGCAAAAAGAAAAAAAAAGTAGTAGAGGATAAGTGAAGCTTAGAGAGATGCACAATTCTTGGCTCAGTAAGAAGGCAGTTTTATGCCAACAGTAAAATAATCTAAAGTGCTTCTATAATACCCTGAGGACTATTTATGCACCAAAGACCAAAGACTTGATATATCTCAACTACTCAGCGAAGATGGAGCCACACTCATCAGTGACAGACATGATGCTAGAGAGATGAGCTGAAGACTTCCAGAGTATTCTCAACAAACCATCATTAACTAATGCTGAAGCCAATGACCGTATGAAGTAAAATACATTTAGAGAAAAAGAATCCAAAACCACCTGGGGGAAGTCAGTTAACTACTCTGGGTCTCAGTTTCCTCATCTGTTAAATGAGGTGGCTGAACTAAATGATCTAAAAAAAAAAGTGATTCTATAATGGATTTGACTAAAGGACATCTCAGAAAGGATCTAAGTAAATGAATTCTGCCTGCTGCAGAGATTCACCTAATGTGCTACTTTGAGAGTATCAGGAAAGGTGCAGAAAATAATAAACACCCTAACTTTACAAAAGGTATTAGAAACCGAGAATACTGAGTACAATTCTAGTTTCAGTAATTCAAGAAAGAAATAACAACTAATTTTAGCAACAGATAGAAAAATTTGTAATACTTAGGTTTAAAAGAAAAAAAAAACTTTCCAGTCTGGGAAGATGACAACTGTGGGATTGTAAAACCATGGAGGGAGATTTGTGAGCTTTACTTATTAGATTCTAGAATAAAATAATGTGCCCTCCTGCAAATTTTAAAGAAATATTAAGGAATAAAAATGTTAAACACTATAGAAAATGTATGAAATTCTTACTCCAGAGATAGAACTAATCAACTATCAAGGTTTAAATCAATAAACTATAAAGTTTTAAAATGGATAAATAATGCACTTAGGTTATTTGTATCCTAAATCTTCTGAAGACATACAAAGGCTTAGGAATAATCTAAGCTAGAAGGGATATTATTTTCTAGTCCAAGTTCCTCAAGTTGATAAAGATACGAAGACACAGAGAGATTAAGTAATTTGTGCAAAGCCACACAACTAGCTAATGGCAAATTTAGCTCAGCCCAGCGTAGTGCTAACACACCATGCTACATCTTAAGTGAAGTGAATTTACTTTCAATTCACAAACATTTATTAAGCATCCACTATGAACAAAATACACGACTCCTGAAAAATCTTTGATTCCGTCATCATATTTCGGAAACTATGCAGTGTAATGACATCTCTCAAAATATTAAATTGGATTAATAAAGAAAATGCTCTTTGAAAACCTATAAAAGAAAATAAGCCCTGTACTCTAACACAGGAAACCTGGACAAAATGGGTTATTAAATTGGTAGAAAATTGGAATGCTATAGATATAACCAATTTTCTATTAACTTTCATTGATGCATTTGACAGAGCTTTTAGATAAGAAAATGTAGGATGGATAATCAGTTAGATGAAGTTTTAGCTAAATGAACAACTATTTAACATTTGATTAATGGATCAATACCAATCTAGAGAGAGAACTCTATCCTTTGTCCTGTCAAATAATTTTAGAAGTGGAAAAGATGTTACCTCATTTTTAAGATAAGCAAATTAATGCCAAAGAGCTCTTTTTTTTTTTGGTGTGTGTGTTACCAATAAATCAAAGATTTAAAATGTTTATGAAATTTCCTGATGGTACAAAGCTAGGAAAGACATATAATATATTTGATGAGAGAATCAAAAGTTTTCCACAAGCTGAAATTATGAGCTTATTAGATAAAATTTAAACAAAAATTTAACTAACCATTTTGGTTCAAGTAATCAATTGCACAAGTACAGGATAGAGTACAGGATCCTCAACAGTAGGTCACATGGAAAAAAAAACCCTCGATTTTGCAGTTTACCCACAAATTCAGTATAAGCCAACAGTATTAAGCAGTTTCTAATAAAGCTTATAGGACAGCTAGGTGGTGCTGTGGATAGAGTGCTAGCACTGGAGTCAGAAAGACTTCCTGAGTTCAAATCTGGTCTGAGACACTTACTAGCTGGGTAAGCTAGTCACTTAATTTGAGCAAGTCACTTAACCCTGTTTGCTTCAGTTTTCTCATCTGTAAAATGAGCTGGAGAAGGAAATGGCAAGCCACTCCAGTATCTTTGCCAAGAAAACCCTAAGTGGGGTCATAAGGAACTAGACAAGACTGAACAACAACAAATAAAGTTTATGTAGTATTAAGCTGCATATAAAATAAATATAAATCAGACTGAGGCAGGTAATAGTCCCATTTCATATACTAGGCACTACATTTTAAGAGGGGCAATGACAACTAGAACACATCCAGAAGAAGGTAACCATGATTGTAAGGTAACTCAAATTCAAAGTGATTGAAGGAATTCAAGGTATTTAGCACAGAAAAGGTAGAATTTGGGGGGATCATGCAAAAAGGAAGAAAGCTCTTCTAATATCTGTAGGACTGTTTTGTAGAAGAGGTAATAAGCTCATTCTGTATAGTCTGTACAGCCAATGGATGGAAAGTAGAAGTAGGAAGATTTCAGCTCGCTAAAGTAAGTACTTTTCTAATAACGAAAACTAAAAATAAAAGATATTTGCTATCTCACTCTCCCAAACCAAGTGTCCAATAAAGCCAAGATAGGTAACTATTTGCCTTCACTGTAGCAGAAAAGATTTCAATGATGGGAGAATTTCACTTCCAACTTCCACCGAAAAATAGGGAAAAGAGAGAAAACCTGAACAAAATAAGAAAATGAATAGTGAAGAAATAGAGACTGAGCTTTGGAGAAATTTGAGACAGAACAATATCCAGCTTCAGATTCTGTCAATGGCTTCTGTTAAAAAAAAAAACAAACCAGATCAAATATGATCACAAAGAATAAAGATCAGAAGAGAGGGACTCGAGAAGGTCATTTTGCTAGGCAAGAAAGAAAAGGTAAGCAAACAATTGATAAGCTTAATACAGGTAAAGTAAGGTGTTAAGAAAAACAAACTGGTGAAACAAAGAAATTAGTACAAAAAAGAAAAGTAAATGTAGAGCAGTAGTTATATTACCAAAAGGTATAAAAAGATTAAATAAACATCTTAAAGAGGTGCTTAGGTTAGATGTAAACACTGACAAGTCTTAAAAAAAAATGAGAATCTATATTAGTATGGAGGAAAGGGGGGAAATTTTGCAGAAACTTCACTGACTTTGTGACATCTGTATCTAACATCAGCAAGTCACTAGGAGCCAACTAAGTTTACAGTAGAAAAAATCCATGACAGGAAAGGCAAGAACTAAAGCTCATAGACACTCAAAAGTCTATACACTAATGCCTAAAATTTATGCAACAAACAATAGGAACTAGAGGTCATAATGTGAGGAAGCAAATTTGACCTTAGACATATCACTGTGACTTAGTAGGATGAAATTCTATTTACACCTTATTCAAAAGAAATAGTTTAAGTAAAAAGAGCAACAACCATAAGAGGGCAGCATGTCAAACATTTGGGTGAAGATCAATGAAGGGGAAAAATAGAAGCCATTTTGCCATTGAAATATGCATAAATTTTGGTTGTTTCCTCTTTCTTATGGTTCCTTTTATTGGTTCTAATTCTTCCTTACAACATGACTAACATGAAAATATGTTTAATAGGAATGTATATGTATAGCCTGTATTAGATTGCACTCTGTCTTGGGGAGGGAGGTGGGAAGGGGAGAAAAATTTAAAACTCAAAAGCTTATGGAAATGATTGTTGATAAATCAAAATAAATTAATTTAAAAAAATAAAAAAATAAACATGAAGGTGGCTGTCATGGAAAAGGGATTAGACTTGGTCTATTTGGCTCCTAAGGACAGGACCTAGACAAACGAGCATAAGTTACAAACAGGAAATTTAGGATTGATGTTAGCAAAAATGTTCTAATAATCAGAAGTGTGCAGAAGTAGAATGGGCTCCCTTAGGAGGTGGTGGGTTCCTTGCTTGACTGGAAGTAAGAGATTGCATAGAGATCAGACCAGATGACTAGCCACTAAGGTCCCTTACAAAGAAAATTTAGTTATTCTACTGTTGATTTGTGTACTGAACAGGCACAACATATGGGGGGAAGAAAACAATTGAATAGAAGTAAAAAAGTGTACATGTGAGCATGAGAATAAGTGAACAACTACAATTTATTCTAAAGTATCAATATAATCTATACCAGGCCTGCACAAGCTATGGCTGCTTGTAGCCTGCCAAAGGATTTCAGGTAGCCCATGAAAAATGTGTAGGGACATAGAGTGCACTGGAGAGAACAAACTTTTCAACAGAGTTACCATGTACATGAAAACATTACACTATATAAAATGTGGCAAAAAGAAAATATATGAAATACATATTAAAGCTCTTACACACCTAGGAAATGATTGCAAATTATAAAGTATTTAAAATAGTGGTAATTTCTAAAATTTTAGATTGGATATAGGTGGCACAGTATAAGATGTCAATTTTTTCTAGGTCAGTTGCATAAATCACTTAATAAAACAATATTGAATTTAAGAGTAATTCATGAAGAAACCATTTGAATTTTTTTTTAAAAGTCAGTGTTTTTTTTTAAAAAAAACATGTTTTGTTTTGTTTTTAACATATCTGTGGCAGTGTGTAGAATAAGAGCTTAGCATACCCAAGTACTCAGGTCTGCTCTCTAATTTTTTCTACTATGAATTAAATATACTTGGAGAAAGCACTTGTTTGTGTGTTGGCTCTTTGAAGTTTCTTGATTTCCTTCTCCACATCTTAAATTACTAAGTACTATAGTAAGTTGATTATCACAAGGAAACAAGTAAGAAGAACTGCCCTGTCTCTGCAGGGATTTTCCTTGGAGCATAGAGCACTATGTCAAGAGCCACCTTTTTTTTTTGTTTTGGCTAACTTTCAAAAATCCTTACTTATAGCAGACATCAACATTCCAAAATTATTCACTAAGATTTTGGGGTAAGATTTTAGAAATCACTGTATGTTTCAAAGTTTTGATAAATAATATTATCAAAGTTTGTGAAAATAAACTTACTTCCAATGCATAGCATACTGGCTTGTCTCTGCCCAGTTTGTAAGCCACTGTGGTAAGAAGGCCATGATCAGAAAAAACGCACTAGACAAAACAGAAATATTTTAAGGTTAAAGAATATTATTTTTTTTAAAGGAATGGTGAAAATTATATTTATACACACAAACATATGTTACGTTTATACACACACATACACAAACACATACCCAAATACATGTAGATGTATGCTTTCCTCACACTAAGCTTACTTTTGGCTAGGAAACCAATATTATAAATAATGCATTATAAGTAAAATCATTTATTTCAATTTATTTATTTATATCAGTTTCAATAAAGGATCATTGCCCCTTACCTTCTAGCTTTTCAACACATAAAAAATATATGTACATAAATGCTTGCTCTTCCCAAGTTAAATTTTATGATTTTTCATGTTTGACTAGATTCAACACCTTAAAATGTTATTTACTTATACCTAAAAATAGATCCAAACATTTAAAAAGCTTACAACAAATTATGTTTAACAGTTTATTGCTTTCACAAGTAAAATGAGGCCCTGATAATAAAGAAGAAAAAAAACTAACCTTTTGCCCAGTATTACATAGTAGGAAACAGCCTGTTCCATACCTATAGTTAGTGAAAAGGAAAAGTATAATACAGTAATTTTACTTAAGACAAATTCCAACAAGTTACCCGAACCAACATTTCATTTATTGGCACAATATTTTTTTTTATTAAAGCCTTTGCTATGTTCTAAAGTTCTAAATCATCATATATCTTTTAGTGAAAAAAAAAGTTTTGAAGATCAACTTAGGGGAAAAGCCAGGAGAACCCGGTGAAAAACACAACTATCATTTTTTGTAATATATTTTTGAGATAAATTTCCTAAAGGCTACTTCTAACTTCTTTGTCAAAGGAATACTGTGTTTAAATATCAACTACCAAAAACAAACAAATAAATATTAACAACCTTATTAACCACAATCTGAGGTGGTATCTATGCCATTTATGTTACTGAATGACAACAAAGTATCAATCACAAAGGGATTTTTTTGGCTGCCAATTCAAATAGCACAAACATTATTAGCAGTAAATTTATTCAGCAGTAAAACTACTTCTCTGGGTTCTAGCATTAGTGCATTTTTGAGTTAACCCAGGCTCCTTGCAACTGTGGCCACCTGGATCTTGGAGAAACAATTAGGGTAAGGTATTTGAGAAATACTTTGTTCAGTAATATTATAGCACATTCAAACAGAAACAGAAAAGGGTCAAGATAGTTCTATCTTGGGTGGCAGCTAATATCTGTCAGTATTAACTTCAAAACTCCAGCCCAAGCCTGATTCTTTCACATTGACAAGTGGCCTTCAACTACATTAGGAAGCTAATAAAGTGAAAAGGATGCAAATAGAAATCAGGGGAAGCTAATTGAAACCTAAAGTCAATGATGAAAGTGGTTTTAATATATTAGTAAACAGAAGTAATTTTTTTAAAAGCACAAGACTTCAAAATCAATGAGAATTAATTAAGAATGAGAATCAGTTTTATAAGTCACTTTTTGATAAATCTTAATGAATTATTAAATCTAGATTTTTAAAGGATTTGTTGGTGTTTGATTTCTACTTGTGAACTTACTACTTCCAACTGAATAATTTTAATCCCCATAGTTAATTAATATCTTTAAAGGTATTCATGAATTTTTAGGATACTTATAGTATCAGAGGCAGCTTACCACAGTCTTGTCATCAGGAAGAGCTTTTTTAAGGCCTGCCTCTGATATATAATAGATATTTGACCAAGAACAAATCATTGAACCTCAAAAAAACTCTCTAAGACTATAAACTGCAGACAAGCTCTTTCTTTGTATTGGTGGAGTTGCCTATACTAATTAAATCACAGCAATGGGCTCATTATTCATAATATACTTTCTAAGGTACAGATCAAGAAGAAGACAAAAGAATTTGAACATTCTTATGTTAAAGATGCTGAGTTGACTACTTTCAATATCTACACACTTCAAAGCTTAAAGTGCCAAACAACAACAAACAAACTCCAAACTCGACTACAATCAAGTTTTAAGTTCCGTTCCCACAACTTACGTATTTTTGGCTTGTCCATCTTGGAAACACATTTGTCCAACTAAAGCAGCAGACTGGTCTCCCAAGCACTAAAAGCACAAATGTATAAATAAGGGTAACAAAATGCCACCAATGGAAAAAATGTAAACAATTCCTAGAAGACCATTTACACAAAAAATTAAAGGGATAAAAAAGCCTTTCCATTTTATTATTCAATAATACTACCATTAACTGATAAAGAATATGAACACAGGAGGGTAAGACAAGAAAAATTCTTAAATTTTGCTGTTCATTACTTTTGTAGAGTCTAGATGGGATAAGAGTTTAACTGCAGAAAAGGTTTATCAAAGGAAAGGTAAAATAAAATATTCAGCACAAAACTCACCCCTGATAATGGTACACCTTCCAAGGCCCCAGCTTTCTAATGAAATACAAAAAATACAATATAATTAGGATATAATTTAAAATTATTTACCTTATTAATGTGTTACAAAAGGATTGACATAAAAAAGCCACATGCTCTTGTGCACAGGCAGACAAGACAAAGCAAAGTGCTCTGACTACATAGGTTGTATGTCCTAAAAGAACACCTACAACAATAGCAATACCATGGTATGGCAGAGTGGAGAAAACACTAAAATGAGACTCAAACTTTCACTTTATCTCAGTGCTAGTCCTAGTTCCATGAAAATTATCTGAGTGATCTTGGGCAAGTCACTTAACTACTCTAGGCCTCACTTTCCTCACTTTAAAATGAGAAGGTGAGACTAAGTTACCTATAAAGTTCTCTACAGATCTAAAATTATAGGATTCTATGATTTCATCACATGGTTAATACCATTATCAACAAATAAATTGCACTTAAAAAGTCAATATTCTAAAACATTTACAAAATGTTGGGTCTATAATAAACAGCTTCAGTAAATACGCAAACATTTGCTAAACCAGTTTGATATGTTATTTACTTTTAAGAATTTATATCCAACTCATTGTTCCAACTTTTAAGATAATAATTTAAAAACTGTTTCCAGAAGTTGACTGAAATGTTATATATTATTTGACCACATGGTAGCTTGCTATCTTATAAATATAGCCAAAAACCAAACCAGGATTTTAAATTGAACTGTATGGTGAATGACTTGGCACTTTACCAAACTTTAGTTTCATTTATTTTCAACATGCCCAATCACAAATTTGATAAAATCTTAGGAACAGGAATATAAGAAATGCTACTTGGATCACTCTTGTTGGTTAACTAAAGAGCTGTCATTTAAAAATAAAAGTAATGCCTCTATACTTCAATAATGAGATGTGAATTTAATAAAGGTTAAAAAAAACAAAGAAGAAAACAATAACAAAAAAAATCTTACTATCAGTAAATAATATCAGAAAAATTCTGCTTCCTAAAAGCTAATATGTTCTGTTGGGGTGATTCTCTTGTGGACTACAAGAATCTAACTTTGGTGAAGCATGCATAGAAAGTGACAGTGTATTTCCAACTAGCACATCTTAGATGTTGTATACAAAATTCAGGTAAAATTAATTATCAGGTAAATATCAGATATCATTAAATAACAAGTAAAATTATTTAAGGCATCCAGACGCAACTTACATCCAATGTAAAAAAAAAAAGGAAAAATAACAACTTTTGATTTTTATAATATTATTCCGATAACCAAAGCATTTATAATTTATGTTCTGAATCTCAATAGGAAGCTACAGATAATCATTTATTTCAGAATGACTCTTAATCCTTTAAACTTAGGGAGAGCAACAAAAACAACCCCTTAAATACTCAAGATTGGTTAAAAAATCCCTGAGTACAATTCATTGCAATTTTGCTCAAGCAAAATTCTAGACACACCCCAATTATTTCATAAACATATTTGTCTTCCTAAAATAAGTGGAAATACACTGTTATCTTTACCAAGTGGATGGATGGGGAAGATAATTGTTGGATGACCTACTCACCAGGCTATGAGAGATTTTCTACAGCCAGCAAGAAGGGAGAAAAGGGATAGAGACACATTTCAAATGCAAAAGAAAAATTAGCTAATCTAAATGTTGTTCAACCTTTCTGTGAAACTATTTCTCATGCGTATAGTTTTATGTATTTGACTTTTGATTGTTTCAGTGACAGTTCCTCTATAATTTCATAAATAGTACATAGATAAGCAATTAGCATTTTTAACAGCTATATACTCTTCCTGCTTCCCCCAGAGATTTATACACATACGTAATGTCTTTTTAAAATCTACTTAACTTAGGATTTCAACTCACTATTAAAGTAAAACTGTGAGTAGTTTCAAATGGCATGAAATGTTTTAATTATTTCTTACAATCATAATTGTATTCCACCTCTAAATTGAATTTCAGGTTTTTGTAACGGAAGACTTCAACAAAACTTCAACAATGAAAACAATGTCATTGCTGATGGGTTGGGCCAAACTGGTTGAACCCCGGCTCTTCCTCAATAATAACACTATCTATGTTCTCCATGCTCTCTGCTCAGGCTGTTCTCCATGGGGTTAACAGACTCCTTCCCCTCTACCTCTTAAAGAGTTCCTGGTATCCTTTGAAACTCAGCTTAAATGCTGCCTCCCATTTGAGACCTTTCCTGCTCTCGCCAGTTGCTACAGCTGCCTTTCCACAGTATCTTAAACTTATTTTGTGCATACATCTATCTCTGCACATGTTGTACATAGTAAACAGTCACTCCTCCCTAGAATGTAAGCTTCCTGAGATCAGAGACCATTTCATTGTTATCTTTGTATGCCTAGTTCCAGGCAAATAAATGCTTGTTGATTTGACTTCATAATCTGTAAAAATGAATTACACCATTTTTAGAAATCCAAAACTTGGGAATTATATTCTGACTACAACCTTTTGTCCTTCCATCTCTTCCTCTCTTGACACTTCTCTACCGTCTCGCTCCATAAACACACATACACTCTCTCTCACTTATTCTCTCAGCTAATCTCTCCTCTTCTGGATTCATCTGCCTCCATACTCAGTCTTAATCTCAGAGTTTGCAATTTTAATGTGTCTTGGCCATTTTATAATTCCTAATTGATCTGTGTTTCCAGATTCATGAATCCTTATCTCTGGACAACTCCAGCCATCCAATTTCTCCATTTCACTTTCAACACTACCATGTGTCAATAGAGAAAGTCAAACCAATTTCACACACCTTTACAGTACACAAGCCTTTCTGCTGCTAGAAAATCCTTCTACTCTACTCTTATCAACTTTCTAGTGTTCTCGATAACAACTGTTCTAAAATTTGTCTTTCTCTTCTCATTTCTTGCTATACCTTCAATTCCCTCAAACTTAGATGAACTTGCCTCCCACCTCACTGAGAAAACTGATGTCATCTGACATCAATTCCCTTATCTGCCCTTCTATAATCCTAAGAAATTCCTAGAATCACCATCCATTATCTCCCATCTGGGCACAGACTGCACACCTATTCTTCACTAAGGATAACCGTTCTTTCCTGTGTCCAACATCCAGTTCACCTCTCTTCTTCCAGGACCTTGCACCAGCAGTGAGGGACCTTTCGTCTCTACCGGACCTCCTTTAAAAAAAAATCTGCCTCCAAATATAATAGTCTCTCAAATACCTTTTTGTAAAAAAGCCTCAGGTAATTGTTTTCATCCAACAATCAAGGAAAAGTTAAAATATCTCTACTGTGAATTAAGCACGAACATTTCAATATATTTATACAAAGAACAGAAAAGACTATATAAGAAACTGAGAACTTAAGTACATTGTATACTTTTCAAAAAGTATTTGTCAAATTTAACATGACAATTATAAAACTGCTTTGTTTGTCTTTGTGTCTTGAATTGTAATGAGTGATTCCTAATGATCTTTCCTTAGCTCTTCTTGACCTTCTCTACTCTTTCTTCCTTGACTATCTTATTCACTCCTATGGCTTCTATAGCCATCTCTAATCTTCATTTTCAGTCCTCATCTCGCTTTTGAGCTCCACATCTGTATCTCTGCTTGCTTCCAGGGCATCTTCACATGGGATGCCAACATAAAGACATATGTAAAATACAATCTGTTTGTTTGTTGTCGTTTTTCTTAAACCTTCTGTTTCCTATTTTTACTTCTGGCAAGCATCATTTACTTGGTTTCTCACATTCAAAACCCAGGGGTTACCTTTGATTCTTCTCTTCTTAATCCTATGATTATATCCAGCTATAAGGTCAATTGATTATACCCCTGCAACATCTCTTGCTTCTGCACCACCACCCATTTATTCTTCCTGCCACAATCACTCCTCTTTAAGGTTCTCTCATCTCTTCTCTCTGTTCTCAAATATTTCCAACATATTCAGGCCAGAATACTCTTCTTAGTGAAGAGATCTATTATTGATTTCTCTACTCAAAAAATTCTCACTGCCTATCAAATAAAGTTCAAATTTATTTGCCTTGGCATTCAAGGTCCTCCCATAAGGCCCTTTTCTTTCACTTGAACTGTCCCGCAAAATATCTCTTGCAATGTCTTGCAATGTTCCCTATGTCTAGAACATACTCCCCCCCTTCTTCACCTGTTGCATTCCTACGTATCATATTCAAAAGGCTCCTTCCTACCTTAAGTCTTCCATAATTGCCCTAGGTCAGTAATCCCCTCTCATACTTTGAACCTCACAAAGCACTGTTTTTACAACTCTCTAATGTACTAGAATAATCTGTGTTTATGTCTTATCCCTCTATTAATCTGTAAGCTCCATGAGAATAGTGACTGCCTTTTCTAAATCTCCCTTAAGGCTTACCACAATACTTTGCACATAGTAGGCATTTAATAAATAAGATGATCAATTAAATTATGTTACAAATCAAAGAACTCTGACATTAATTTTTGGTGAATGTTTTGTCCAGATCTACTAAGTTCACAATACATAACTTGGAGTTGTCCACTTAAAAGTGCCTGGAGAAAAGCATTCTTACAGTGTGACAACTCCCTCTTGTCATTTAGGAAAAGTGACCACAATCGTTTAAGTTATTTGAATTAGAGAAATAAAATCCAAAAGCTAACTACCAAAAGTTTTCATAGCATCTTTTACAATTATAGTAACGCTATGAAAAGGTTTAGGATCTATATTCATCATGGCCATTTAAAATTTATGAATTACTTATCAAAATGATTTGGTAGTAGGCTTTTACTAAACTCATCAGTTTGCCATTGCTACTCATACACTACCCAAAAGGAGTAACTAAAATTTTTACAAATCCCTTAAATTGGTTCAACTTGATTTAGCTAAATTTGGCTTTCAAATCCAGAATAATGTGTTTAAAAATTATTATTTACCATTAGACCATAGATCTCAGAAGAACTCCGGATATTTGGAAGTATTGTCATAGGAATCTCAAAAAACCTAAAAACAATGAAATATTTAGGGGTGTATGTCATTGTTAACTTAATACTTGGCAACACTTTACCTAAAAACTAGAAAATATGGAATGTATTTGAACACAAAGTTGTACAGTAAGGAATGAACCACGCATGGTTTGAAGGTCCCAAGATTAGTCAAAAGACAGTATCTCATAGCACAGTTCTGGTCATGTCATTCACTAGGGGAAGGGGAAGGGAGTAAGCATGTATATAGGGCCTACTATGTGCCAGGCACTGTGCTAAGCACTTTACAAATATTATCTCATTTGATCCTCACAACACCCTGTGAGGAAGATGCTGTTATGATCCTCATTTTACAGTAGAGGAAACTGAGGCCAAAGGAGGTTAAGTAGCTTGCCCAGGGTCACACAGCTAGTAAGTATCTGAGGCCAGAATGAAATTCAGGTCTTCCCAACTTCAGGTCAGTGCCACCTAGTTGCCTCACTATGTGGCTTTGGGAAGTTTATTTAACCTTTCTGTGCCTCAGTTTCCTTAACTACAAAATGAGATTAAAAACACATGCACTCTTCCATAGCACAGCATTGTTGTGAGTACTTTGTGAATTATAAAGTGCTACACAGAAATGAACTATTATCATTATACATTATTAGGTATTTATTACTTCATCTTCAAAACAAATATTTAAAAGGAACACAGATTCACGTACTATACTAAAAGAATCTTCCCTAAAAAGTGGTCACTACGTAGTACTTTATATTTATAGACCCATAATTAGATAATACGCTCATATAACAAGCATATCCTACTAATTAAACACTGGAACCAATAAATTATAAATATGGCAAAAGTACATCTTTGCAAGTAATTATAAAAAGTATACTTTAAATTAAACCCCAAGTAGTACTCACTCGCACAGTTCTACATCCCATTCTAAAGAATGAATGTTGAAAAGCATTGTCCTACTGGCATTTGTTACATCTGTGCAATGGACACCTCCGTTAGGCCCTCCCGTCAAACTCTGGAAAGAATAGAAAGAAAAAAATTGCTTCTTATTATTTGTGGTTTTATTGAGATTTCTTTAAGAAGTATTTAATCAGAATTATTGCTACCTAAGACTTGAATTAACCAACAAAATATTGTTACTGAATTTTCTGGTTAATGGCAGGTTAAAGAGAAAACACATTAACTGAAAATTCCTAATACCATATTTTGCCACATAATCATTGCATCGTGTTGTTTTATTTTTTTCAGTCCAAAAATTGGTTTATAATCTTTCATCACGTAATTGTTGCTGTTTGTCACGCCACTTAAAAAGTAAACAGAGGAACAATGTATTCACCATATGGATATGCATTTATCTCTAGCACATTGTGACCTATATGAACCTAGATTTCTCAGTGCCTGTGCATTGTATATTTCCAAAAGCCAACTTGCATGGTTTCTTTAGAGCACTGCAGTACTGTCACTCAATCCAATGAAGAGTTGTAGATGCAAAGGGAGCAGGCAGGCAGGGGGAAACTGCCATGAGTAAGTCACATGATATGGTAAGACTTGCATTTGTCTGCCAGTGATACATTAACGTGAAAAGCATTTCTTTCTGATTATGGGTAAATATAAAAACTATTCTGCAGGCTTCAAGCTGAAAGTGATTTTGTTTGCTGAACAGCATGGAAACAGAGATGCAGAGTTTTCAGTGAGTGAAAAGTTGGTGGAGACTGGAGGAAACAAAAAGACAAGTAATACTGGCACACAACGATGGTTGCACATGACTTTTTTCAAAATTTGTCACAAAACCTGCAACAATTATGCCATGAAATACGGTACTTATCAACTCATTTTCTTGACTTAGTAAATAGAATCTAATCATTTGCTTGACTTAGTAAATAGAATCTAATTGAATTTCTTTGATAATTTAAGACATTTCAGTAACCTGGGATCCTTATACTAAATATCATTTGAATATAATGTAATGTCAAGAATTTGTCAGAATTTGACTCAGACACAGCCTAGAAATTAGTTTTAGAATCAATTCCAGATATCAGCTTTTCCTATTTGTTTCTCTCTTAAACAAAAATTAAAGAAAATTCTACTTTACTGGGTTCTAATTAATAGAAGTTTAAAAACATATGGAAAAAAACATATCATTCCATTCTAAACAACTGATATTTAAATTTTAAACTGCTTAATCAATCCCAAGTCTCTGGGGATTTTTTTTTAATTTTTGTTTGTTTTGTTTTTGTAATTTGCCTCTCCTAAAAGATTACATAAAGAAAATTATACTTCAGTGGGCTCTAATTGAAGTTCTACTATATATGGGGAAAAAAAATTCCATCTCAAACATCTGACAGTCAGGAAAGAGACTCCATGTTTATATCCTTTTGAATGGAATAAAATTAAAGCATTCCAACCACAAGAGATAGATGTTATGTTACAGAACTCCTCAACCATAAGAGGCAATATGAATAGTGGAAACTTTTAGTCAGAGGAAACCTGGGTTTAAATACTGCATCTAGCACTTACTAACTTCATGGTCATGGAAAATTACAAAGCCACAATTTCTCTGAATCCGTTTTCTCACCTTGTACCTATTTCACAAGGTTGGTGTGAGGATCAAATTATGTATTTAAAGTGCTTTGCAAAACTTATTAAAGTGATACACTGTCTTGGGGTTTGGGGAGGGACGAGATGGGGAGAAAATTTGGTACTCAAAATCCTGTGGAAGAGAATGTTGAAAACTAAAAATAAATAAATTAATGGACGAAAAAAGAAAAATAAACAGAAGATATCAGAAGGAAATTTGGAAGGGGACAGAGATTTGGAGGGCAGTGTTGGAACTAACACATTAAATTCAAAATATACAAAAATGAAACAAGAGAAAACTAGTGAAAAAAAATTTTTTTAAATGTCTGTTAATTAACTAATTGATTATCATTTGGGGGGAGGTAGGGAAAGGTGGTCAATGAAGGTTTCATTGAGGAGCTGATTCCTGAGTTGAATCTCAAAGGAAAGGAAGCACTTAGAGCTAGAAAGGATCTCAGAAATCATCTAATCCAACCACGGTAGTTCTCAACCTCTTATACTTGGATGGACCCCTCGGAGGGTGGTAATGCCATTGTAAAGGGACCAAGTCATTTAAGGAGTCAGTATAAGGAATAGGGAAACATGCCTTCTGTATACCACATAAATAATATCCCTTAAACATATATGTAAATAAACAAATATATATTATACATTACTATTACTATTTATATACTACTGTTGTTTGAATGTATACTATTGAGATTAATAAAAACAAACTCATTTAAAAGTGGAAAAAAACCTTATCAATCAATAAACCAATAAGCATTTAAGTGCCTTTTCTCTGCTAGGCACTGTGCTAAGCACTGGAGACACAAAAAACAAAAGTAAAACTCCCTGCCTTTATCCGTCTTATTCATAATATATCTAATATGGCGGTACATAGAAATTGCCATGAGAGGCATTGTGGCTCATCAAGAACTAATGTTTGGGCAGCTAGCTGGCGCAGTGGATAGAGCACTGGCTCTGGATGCAGGAGGACCCAAGTTCAAATCCGGCCTCAGACACATAACATAACACTTGCTAGCTGTGTGACCCTTGGCAAGTCACTTAACCCCAACTGCCTCAGCCAAAACAAAATAAAACAAACACACAAACAAAAAAACCTAACATTCAAGCCAGAAAGCCCTGGGTTTAAGTCCTACCTCTGACGTATACTGATTACTAAGTTGTCAATGGTGTGCTAATCAATTTTGGTAGGAGTTTCCTCCCTTAAGAGTTCCCTATACTAATGGAATCACAGGTCCTGTCCCTATTCCTTAGTTATAGGATAGTCTTCTGATGTTGACGTTTTATTATCAATATTCATTCTCTTCTTTGCAATGACTCTTAAATATCCTTCTTTTCCATTTCTGTTACTATTGCCACCATCCTACTTCAGACCTTCAAGCTTCATGCCTAATCCATGCAATATTTTAACTAGCCTCTCTAGCCAAAGAAAGGTTTCATGATTCTAATCCATCCTTTAAATAATGCTGCCTGTCTTGTCTCCTCCAAAAGTGCTTTGATTATTATAGGGGACCTCTGAAAATCCTTCCACCGCTAGATACACAAACCTATGTCACTTTCTACTGTTGGCCCACAGGGTAAAAAAAAAATCCAATCTTTTTTTGCACTGAGAATCAGATTCTAACCCCTTTTAAATGAAGGTAGGAATGGGCATGACTAACAATTGTTATATCCCTGGTAAAAATAAGCTGTTCAACGACCACTTTGTGAAGCAAACAAATTTCTTATGATTTAGACAAAACTACTTCTAAAGCACTTCTAATTCCAGCTCACCATTGGCTTTTTACATCCTCTCAATTCTATTGCCAATATTTTTTTTTTAACATTCCCATTTGGCTTATTAGCTTTCACTAGAGCTTACCCTTTTGATGACCTCTTCACCCCCGTTATTTTGACTTTGACTTTAGTGTTTCCCAACCCCTGTGTATTTGTTTGGAGCTCTGCTAGTTTCTACCCTTTTATCAAATGTGACCCTGGCTCCTCTTGGGCCTGGCTATAACTAAGTATTAATCCTTGGATTTCTGGCATTTTCAAGCTTTTCTCCCACTACTCTAACCAGGCTAATCTATTTTGTCTTCCAAATATAATTTGTATTCTCTGGTCCTTACCCTTACACACATCTTCCTCCCTTTTTAGAATGACTTCTTTTAAAGGAAACCTTTTATAAAAGAACTCTGGTACTGACTGGAAAGTATTTAAATGAGATAAGATAAAAATAACCTTTTGGAATACAAGACTTTTTCCCCCCTACCTTTTATTCATTTTTGTTTTGGTTTTTTGAAGGACAGATACAGAAATGAGTTAAGTTGGTAAGGATCTAAAATAAAGTTTTAATTTTGTGAAAATAAGTATATATAACAATATGCACACTATATATTAACATTATAGGAATCATTATTCACTTATACAAAAACAAAAATTAAACAAAATCCCTACACAATCTAGCCAGGTAAGATAACACAAGGTATTAAGGTTTGTAAAAAACTAGACACAAGGTAATTTAAAAGGAAGGTTCTAGCAACTAGACTGAACAGGAAAGGCTTCATTCAGAAAATTCATTCTGGACTGAATGCTGAAGGAAACTGGTGATTGAAGAAGCCCATTTAAGATATGGAAAAGCACAGAGATGAGAGATGGACAGATGGACACATTAGGAAAAACAATAAGGCCACTTTGGCTGGACTATATAATGTGAAAAAGGAAGTAATGTATGATAAGCCCAGAAAGGTTGGTCAGAACAAGATTTGTGTTTGATTCTAGGCAACAGAGAATCACTGGAGCTTATTGACCAGGCAGTGATTTGGTCAAACCTGCACTTTAGGAATATCACTTTTGCCACTGTTGTGTGGAGCACAGATTGGAAGACACAAGGAAACCAATTAGGAAGCTATTGCAATAGTTCAGGGGAAATGTAATAAAGGGTGGTGACCAAGTCAAAAGAAAGGGACAGATACAGGACAGTAGGTTAAATGTTGATAGGAAGGACAATTGTTTATATAAAGACAAAGGGCTTTTGTTTCTTGGGAGCAGGCAGTAGGAAACTACATCTTACAGATTTTCAAATTAATTCTCTCTCTCTCTCTCTCTCTCACACACACACACACACACACACACACACACACACACACACACACACAATTTTCATCCTTCCCTGGAACTGCTTTTGATTCAAGAAAACAAGCATTTTTTGGGTACTCTCTCATGTATTTTAGCATTTTTGCTCTCATCTGTAGGTGGACTTAGAGCAAAAAGGTAAGAAAAGAAACTTCCAAAGTTGTAGCCACCTTCTCCATTAGCTGGTTCCTGTTGCCAAATTTTAAATTAAATTAAATTTAAGTTTTATAGTATTTCCTAAAGATTGGAGGACTGAATAAGAAAACTCAAATGTTAATGGTAAAATGAATGATAAAACCATTCAAAGGAAATTAGCTAGTAATTACAAATTTTCTCTAATTTTGATTAAAGAAGTTGAAAATATAAATTCCAACAAAGGCAATTTTATGCTTTTATACATTATTTATTTACGCAGCTGATTTTTTAAACCAGTAATTCTACAAATGAGTCATGTCAATCAATAAACATTTATATAATTGGAAAAACATCAGTTGCTCATGGGTAGGCCGAGATAATATAACAAAAATGACAATTCTTCCTAAATTAATTTACTTATTGAACGCCATACCAATCAAACTACCAAAAAAATATTTTATAGAGTTAGAAAAAATAATAAAATTTATCTGGAAGAACAAAAGGTCCAGAATATCAAAGGAACTAATGAAAAGAAATGATAGGGAAGGTGGCCTAGCCATACCAGATCTTAAATTGTATTACAAAGCAGCAATCATCAAAACTACCTAATACTGGCTAAGAAATAGAGCGGTAGATCAGTGGAACAGGTTAGATATATAAGATACAACAATGAATGACTACTAAACTACTGTTTGATAAAGCCAAAGGCCCCAGAACTTCTGAGATAAGAACTCATTATTTGACAAAAACTGCTGGGAAAAATGGAAAACAGTATGGCAGAAACTGGGCATAGACCGACATCTTATACCATATACCAAAATAAAGTCAAAATGGGTATGTGGTTTAGATATAAAGGTGATACCATAAGCAAATTAGGAGAGCAAAAAATAGTTTACCTGTCGATTTATGGAGAACAGAAGAATTTATGACCAAACAAGAGATAGAGAAAATTATGAAATGCAAAATGGACATTTTTGATTACATTAAATTGAAAAGTTTTTGCATAAACAAAGCAATGCGACCAAGATTAGGAGGGAAGCAGAAAATTAGAAAAGAACTTTTACAACCAGTGTCTCTGATAAAAGTCTCATTTCTAAAATAGAGAACTGAATCAAATTTATAAAAATACAAGTCATTCCCCAATTGATAAATAGTCAAAGGATATTAATAGACAGTTTTCAGATGAAGAAATTAAAGCTATCTATAATCATATGAAAAATGTTATAAATCACAATTGATTAGCAAAATGTAAATCAAAACAACTCCACATCACAACCAATCAGATTGGCTAACAGGAAAATTATAAATGCTGGAGAAGATGTGGGAGAAGTGCAACACTAATACATTGCTGGTGGAGTTGTGAACTGATCCAACCATCCTGGAGAGCAATTTGGAACTATGCCCAAAGGGCTATAAAAATGTGCATACTCATTGACCCAGCAATACCACTTCTAGGGCTGTATCTAAAGAGATCAAAAAAATGGAAACAGACCCACACATACAAATATTCACAGCAGCTCTTTTTGTCATGGCCAAGAATTGGAAATTGAGGGGATGCTCATCAATTAGGGAATGGCTGAACAAGTTGTGGTACACGAATATAATGGAATACTATTGTGCTATATAAGAAATGATCAGCAGGCATACTTCAGAAAAACCTGGAAGGACTTATATGAATTGATACTGAGTGAAGTGAGCAGAAATGGAACATTGTACACAGTAACAGCTACACTGTGGGATGACTAACTTTGATAGACTTAGCTCTTCTTAGCAATACAAGGATTTAAATTCACATCCAGAAAAAGAACTATGGGGTCTGAATGCAGATTGAAGCATACTACTCGCTTTCTTTTTTTGTTTGTTTGTTTTATTTTGTTTTGTTTCTTCTTTCTTGTGGTTCCTCCTATTGGTTCTAATTCTCCTTTACAACATGACTAATGTGAAAATATGTTTAATAAGAATGTATATGTAGAGCATATATCAGATTGCACACCATCTTGGGGAGAGAGGAGGGAAAAGAGGGGGAGAAAATGTAAAACTCAAAAGCTTATGAAAGTGAATGTCGAAAACTAAAAAGAAATTAAAAAAAATAAACATTTATAAATGCCTACTGTGTGGTAGGTATCTCTGTGTGCTAAGCTATAACTACTATATATTGTTTTGTACTTGATACACTGATATACAGTTAGTTATATATGCATACACATACACACACACACACACACATACAAATATATGGAAGATACACATACATATACAGAGGTATATTCTGTGAATTTCACAAGAACAAAATATAGAAGGCTAAAGTAAAGGGGAAGTAAAGGTGGAATGCTCCACCAAAACCTAGGCTTAAGTGTCACATGTCAAGGGATACATGTCAATAAGCTTGACACAGACCACAGCCTCTTCTGCTAAGCAACTGGGTAATCTAACTCTGATTGATAGCTATGCCTTCCAAGGGAAGTTGGTCCTTCCTATCCTTCTCCTCTTTTCCCAGGAGTCTACATAGGACTCTATATTCAATTCTGGACTCTCTACATCTCCATAAACAGTATCTGTCCAAGATGTATATCCATCTAATTGCATATCATGGTCCAGCACTTCTTAAACTGTGGGTCACAACCCTATATGGTGCTGAAGGGATCACAAGTGTAAAAAGTTTAAGAAGCCCTGGTTTAAACAATAAGAATACTTTATCCATTTGGTCTTGCTTGATTTTATTCAAGCCAAACTCTTCACTGGCTGTAGATTTCATTTAGAAAGTTCTTGTGCTTGCTGTACTGATGACAATGTGATTCACAAACAGAGGTATCTGGAAGATCTCACCAACGACAGGGAAAACTCTTTATTTGGACTTCGTTACAGATATCCTCTATGGTGGTGGAAAATATCCTCATGTACTATTATAGAAAGAAGAATGAAGTTGTTTTTCTGTTGTATCTTTTAAAGAATTGTGTATGATTTTGATATAGCATGGGATTTACCTTGTTGGAGGAGGAACTTAAAGAGAACATGCTGCTCTACTCCATCAAATGAATAGTGGGCCCTTGTAGTTACTTGCTACACCTTTCAGTAAAACATGTGACTGTCAGGACAGGGGATCTAAAAGAGGACACATGTGGAAAATTTCTTCTGTTCCCTTCTTCCCTTCTCATGTTTTCCATCAAAACTTCACTTGATGCTTGGGTACATCATTATAGATCACAAAAAATTTTGTAGAGATTTGTGAGTTGAAATTACTGATGTTGTGCAGTCACTTTATTCTGGTAATAAGCTCTAAGTTTTCCCCTCAAGCCTCTGTGGTTGCCCTCTTTTAGATATCTTATGAATCAGTCCCTCAATGTCCTCACAACTATGCCATCTCTAGCAAAGACTCTTTTCACATTTGGTCTAGCCTGGCTATATTTCCCCATATTTGTTTTTTCTTCAGGCCCATTTCCAACTTCTTTATGCAGCCTATGTACAATTGTTATATAGAATCCAAATGTGAATGAAGAGAGTTAGCTGCAAGAATGTGTAAAAGCTCTTTGCTCTTTCCATTTTTTTGGCCATTACCCTTCCAACTTCACATTTAAATGCCCTTAGGATTTACTTCGCTTAGTTAGTCATTAGCCATCCAAATATTACTATTCTGTACTATTTTCCCTTCAATATGTTCCACTGCTTTTATGAGGAGATATTATTCAATATTCTACTACCCTATTTCTAAGATTTTGCAAACAAGTTTATATTTTTAAACTAATATTGCATTTGGAAGCCATCTCTTTGCATGGGAAGGAAATCTGTTGGCTGAAGTTCTGGTAGACTTTCTTGATCACACTATAGGCAATGATTTTCATCAGCTAAATATCCTTCAAACATGGTGATAATTTATGTCAATACGGTCTTTCATCTACCTCCCTTTTTCAGCATCAATATTTTGGTTAAATAGGTCAGGATGGACACACATTTTCTCATTTTCATTATTTCTTCCAATTTGATGTTTATTTAGATGTTTATTCTAACAAATTTGTTCTCAGTGGTACACAACTCATTCAGAGTAGGCACATTACTGACTCATCTTACCTGCTGAACTAAAATAGATTTTCATTTTTGGTCATATCCAGGGCTTCCTGATTTTCCTTTAAGAAAGTTTTCATGATATATATTCAGGTAATTCTTCTATATAGTCTACAAAGCTTTGGTTTCTCGTTTCTTGCTTCTAAACTATATTAGCAAGAAACTTCTCACTGTCCACACTTATTCCCACCTTTCCATTAAAGTTAGCAAGTATTAAAGTATGTATTGATTTGAACTGGACCCTTTCAAGTTTTTCATAGAATTTCTCTACTGTCTTATCATATGCAACAGACAATCAGATTTAGAGTGACAGGGGACATTAGAGGTCATTGAGTCCAACTCCCCTCATTTTACGTTGAGGAATCCTAAGGATGAGGTTGTGTTGGCATTAATAAAAACATTAGCTGCCATTATTTTCACAGCTTACTTTCTGAAACGCTTATCTTAAGCTGCCACATGACTTATGTCTTATGATTCTTGTTGCATTTGAATGCAAGACAACACCAACCTTTCTAACTCCATTATTTGCTTCTCCAAGGACAGCCTAGAAGACTGCCTACAAGCAGGGAATGCTTCCTTCTTTGTACTTGTATCTTTTGGGCATACAGCAGGCACTTAATAAATACTTGCTGATGGACTGGTACAATTTGTTAAAACTTACTCTATTCTAAAGCACAGAGCACAAGAGCATAATCACCTTCATATGTGCCATGATATAAGCATCAAAGGAGGACTTTACAAAGGTTAGTTAAGTGCCTAAAATATTTAAAATAAATTAGGCATGTATCATGCCTAGTAAATAACTATTTTAAAAAACAGAACATAAAATCTTATAAGATGAAATTCTGAATAGCCAAAAAGTTTCCCTCCAATTCTATGTACATTTTGCATATAAAAACATACCCAGATAAGCCATGAATCAATGGTACCAAAAAGAGCTCTTTCTTCTTCAACCGCTTTTTTAACTTTTCTCACATTCTCTAAGATCCAGTGAAGTTTCACAGCACTAAAATAAGTGCTAAGTGGAAGACCAGTCTTGGACTGTAAAATTTGAGAAAAATCAATTAGCATGATCCTTTTAGAACAGTAAAAAAAAATCCCATAGAAAGAGTAAATAATCCATCTCACTAAAACAACAGTAAAAAATTGGTTTTTCCACTTCATGCACAGGTAAGAAAGCATGCTCATGAACAAAGGTTATAATGACATTTGTAGTTCAAAGATCATCCACGTTGTAAGGTAAAGAAAAAAAATTAAATGGATATTAGCTTTAAATAATCTTGAAAGTAAGCACTTGTTATTTGTGTCTATGTTTCTTTTGGAATTACCAATAATTACAAATGTTCTTGTCATGTATTTCATGAAACTAACATTTTGATTTGTGATTTATTGTAGCTAATTTGCAAAATGTCATATATTTTATGAAACTAACATTGATTTAATTTTATATGGTTAATTTGCAAAATGAATTTATGATCATAACAAGAAAATGTGATATTAGAGTGTATAGCACTTATTATATGCTAAGTGCCTTAAACAATATTGAATAGGTGATAAGTGGTATAAACAATTTACTCTATATAAAACCGTTTACTTCCGTGAACAAGGTTATTAAATACCCTGTCTTTAACAGAGAGAGATAAAAATTATGGCTTTTTTTTATGTTAAACATATATACTTGTCTGTCTTACTGAAGACTGAGGTCCATCTCTTTTATGATTTCCATGTACTATCTCAACATTGTGAAATACATAAAGGGTGTTTTTGGCCACTTGACCAAATCACTTCAAATTACCCTTTACTTCATAATGTTATGCTTCAGTGTAAGATGTAAACAAATCTAATGGATTTTACAGAAATGCAATTTTTAAATCAAGATGCTTTCATTCTAGCATTTTAGCATTCTAGCACCTGAATTTTATTTGGGAAAAAAAATGTTCAAAAACATGACAAAAATACTTATTGGGGCAATTTTGTTGGCAAAGAATCATAGGTGGGAAATCCTATAGGAGATTTTAACAAGGTTAGGAGAGGGGAGAAGCAAGGTGATACACACCATTTTTTCAGTCTCATGACTCAGGGAGAAAATGCAAAAGATTCTGAAAATGAGGACAAAAAAAAACTTTTGTCTTTTGAAAGGGGGTGGTTAATATTAACTTTAGGAGCTGGGGCAAAAAGCAGTTTCTAAGCTAAAGAATCATAGTCAACCCGAGAGTAACAGAACTTCACTCATACACATTTGGCCCATCTAGGGCCCTTTTTTTTTCCTTTTAAGGAGAAAACTGCCTACCCTGATTATGAGCCCTAATAATGGAACACGGAACCAAGGAAAATGCCAAAGATTGCCACTGAACAATAAAAGGTTGTCATTAGGTTAAATTGACTGAAGGTCAGAACTTAATCTGTGGGGAAACAATGCTATTTTCTCAAGTCTAAGCTGGCAAGGTCACATCTACCCTTTGGTGAAGAATATATAAAATAATAGTTATTTTGCAGATATCTCAGGAAGACAGAAACAGAAAAATAACAAGAGGAATCCGACAAAAGGATTAAAATCCTTCTAACCTCCCTGCTTCCTTGCCCTGCCTAGAGCAAGGCAACCAAAACATTGAAACCAAAAGATTCCAGGCCTAATCAAAACCCCTAGATGCTCTTCCCCCCAATCAGTTACAGAGGAAAACAGGAATTGAGTGATCAGATGTAGAGAATTTCCATAGTGGGGTATACAGTTCAAGTCATCAGAACTAGATTCAGGTCTCCTTTAGTATGTTAATCTTTCATATGTTAGAGTTTTCTGTTCTCCAAATGATCAGCAAATATAGTAAGGCTTTGACTAAGTTTGACCTGGCCTTCGATACCTTTGGAAAAACATCTTTGGGGGAACTTACCTCTTCTACTACACACAAGGTGTCACTAAAGTCTAAGTTTTAAGCATTAGTAGCATAAACTGTTGCAACATCTTGTATTATTTCAGACAAGAGATGATACATAAAAGGATATCTATAAAGAAATGCTCTTAATTAAATTTGTGAATCTTCATTTCAAGCAATATACATTTTGCAAAAGATACACACGTAAACACCCCTTACCTTTACAAAATTATTGTTTCCTGGAATTCTTTTACTTAGCGTTTCAACTGTACCCTGGGTTCTTAGATCAAGCCACACTACAAATCAAAATATAATACATATGAAATATCATTTTCTTGATCAATGTCCAAAGTAGTATACTGATTAGTTTCTAGAAATTACAGAAATCTCAAAATTACAAAAATTCCTAAAGAATCAGAAATTTATTAAGGAAATATGTCAGAATGGAGACATTTTATGAAGAATTATTATTTTAAGGTTTTCATATACATTTACAGTCTCAAGTTAGGAGATTGATATATTAGGTCCCAAATAATATTTTTATATTTGTCAGTCTTTTTTGGTTAAAAATAAAGATGGAACATGTCTTATAGCTACAATGAATTTATACCAATTTTAAAAATGCAAAAAGCTAAGCAGTCCAGTTTGGCTACTGGTTAATGCCTTGTACAAAGTATCAACAACTAAGTATTGCATGGAGTGCTACAAAATTCCTTTCTGAATTCTTGTTCCTAAGGATCACTCTAGTGGACTTAGAAAAGGAAACATGCCATTCATTCTTTCAAATATTAAATATTCTTGAGTCTACTGGTCTCCTGACCCATTAAACCACATACATTCAGAATTATCATTATGAGAGTCAAAGATCGTTCCTTTTTACTAGCCAAATCAAAAATAATTAAAATTTAGAAGTTATTCATGTTTTCAGACAGCAAAATCATTTTCACTAAACAAAAATCTCACTTTGGTCAGAGGCACCTCTACTTTGGTTCATGAAAGGTAACCAGAAGTTGCATAAAGCAATTCCCCAAGCTATTCTAGTTTCATTGAAGTTTTACAATTACTTCCCATTACTTTTATCATACAAGACTCCTGCTCAGTCAACATTTCTTTTTAGGACACCCACTATAATCATAATATACCTTGAAGTATATACTTAAAGTACATACTTTAAGAGGTAGTATGGTATATAGTAAACAGGGAATGTGAGTTTCCCTTACAAGGGATTGGACTCACTGATCTCTAAGATCTCTTCCACCTTTTATGATACTAAGTCATACATATTGTACATATTGCTAACACTATCATCCTAATAAGGGCAACATCCTAGTGAAACGATTGCATATTCCTCTCTAAAAGACTCCAGGGAAGGAGATACTACAAGCTACCTAAAATACATTTGAGTATTAACTGATAACTAGTTTGATTAAGTGTAGCAACCTTTATTTTTCAGTTCCTTTAAAAATCCATTATTTCCTATGAGGTACTCTAATTAGTCCCCTTAAATTACTTTTTAAAAAGTAATCTAAGAACTGGTGATTAACTTTGACAGTACTCTTACTTCCTATTAAATTATAATGGGATTTAGGGACTCTTTTCACAGGTTTTCCAGTGTATGAGAAAGGAAACAACAGTATAACGTACCTATAAATATAAGTTTTTACAAAAATAGGGAACATGATCATGGACATGATCACAAATTCCATGTCCAAGAAACTGTAGTACTATAGTAGCAGTTTATGAAAACTGCCCAATGATTTTGACACTAAGCTATGTAAACAGTGTGGCATGTGAACTTTTCCTATTGGCTAGATTCCTATATATAGATATTACTTCCTTCAGTGATCAATGGAATACTTAGAGAACAAGGAAATAAATTTCAAGACTATCAAGGTACAGTTCTATCACTTAATGACTTAAAAATTCTTTCTAGACTATGATCTTCAAGGTTCTGGAAGTTCTTGCTGCTTCCTTTAATGAAATTCTGGACCTCAGGTGGATTCTAGATTTCCTCATTCACTGGACAACAGTGTTGTTCCTCAACAAGGACTACTTTATGATCTAAGTCTTTTGAGCCTGCCTTCCCAATTACTCTGTGCTAACCAAGAGTAGTGGGATCCAGAAAGGTAATTTTTCACCAAAAAGAACATAGCTATCAGCATTATAGAAGGCTGCAATGATATTTGATTTTTGTATCAACATGTTAGAAAAGAGAATGAGAAAGAATTGGTAGAGCTATCGAGAGAAAAAGACATTATTTGGTATAGTGCTTGGTATACTTCATAGATGTGCAAATATTCATTGAATTAGAACTCTGCAAGAAATCAGAAACGGATGTTGTTGTTGTTGCTGCTTTTCAATCATGGAAGAGACTTGAATGGAAAAGCAAAATTCACCAAAAAATGGAAGTGAAATAGACTAAAACAATGAGAAGAACCCAAGTTGAAAAACTGAGAGCAAAGTGCTTCTATACCATTGAGTAGGTCGATTTTTTTTTTTAAAGAAAAAGCAGATCCAGAGCCAGCCACAATGAAGATCAGAAAACAAACAAATAAACTAGCAACAGCCACAGCACCAATACCTGAAGAAGTAACAGCAGCTGGACCTAAGAACCAGAGGGAACAATAGCAACAGGAACTGAAGGGCCAGGAGAAACTGGAGCGGCTAGAGCATCAGAAGAAATAATGGCAATTCTAGCTAGCCTGGGCCAGATTTGGGGCCCAAGAGCTTGCCTGCCCCTCACCTACAGAATTAGTAGTTGAGTAAGTTGTTCATAGAAGAATTAACTAAGGTAAATTTACATATAGAGAGAGAGAAGAAAGGAAAATGGGTAAAACTTGGAGAAAAAATGGAGAAGCACAATCTCGCCTGTTTAACGGCCCTTCCAACTGCTGACTGGGACCAGCGTCTTTGTGGTCCTAGGAGGGATATAACTTTCCTTACGAAATAAGGCAAATGTATGTCTTCATAAATGATGAGAGATAAGCACAAGAAATGGGCTTGATTAGCTCCTGTCAGTGAAAATACAATTGCAGTATTCCAAAAAGATCATAAAAAAGGAGAAACTACGTGTTTCCCACATGTACAAAAATATTTATTGCAGCTCTTTTCGTGGTGGCAAAGAATTGGAAATTGAGGGAATGCCCATCAATTGGGGAATGGCTCAGCAAGTTGTGGTATATGAATGTAATGGAATACTATTGTGCTATAAGAAATGATGAACAGGTAGATCTCAGAAAAACCTGGAAAGACTTACATGAACTGATTCTGAGTGAAGTGAACAGAACCAGAACATTGTGCACAGTAACAGCAACATTGTGCGATGATCGACTACGATTGACTTAGCTTTTTTCAACAATACAACAGATCCAAGACAATTCCGAAAGACTCACGTAGGAAGATGCTATCCACATCCAGAGAAAGAACTATGGAGTCTGAATGTAGATCGAAGCTATTATTTTCACTTTTTTGTGTGTGTGGCTCTCCCCTTTTGTTCTGTTTCTTCTTTCACAACATGACTAATGTGGAAATATGTTTCCATAATTGCACATGTATAACTTATATCAGATTGCTTGATTCATTCTTTAAGAATGAATTTTTCTAGTAAGGCTAGAAGTACTAGTCAAAGTAAAAAGAATACACTAAAACTAAGGAAGGCATTAAAGTCCTGCAGGGTGTGCCAACAAAGAATGCCATGCAAATTTTCTAAAAATATGTGACAGAAGGACAAAATTGGATGAGACACCATAACAGTCTTAATTAGTAGCTAATGATATATTGGAACATATATTTTGTATTTTCTTTCGTGTATGTACATGGTTGCAGTATATCACTTAGTGGCACAGGTGCAGAGGAAATTATTTGAAATCTTTAAACAGTAGTTTGCAATGCATAAAGCATAAAACTTTAAATTAGCGGGCATTTATATCTTTTAAAATGAACTGAATGAATTCAATTGTTTATAATAGGAAGGAAAATAAATGGCAATAAAATATATGGACAATATATTGATGCAAGAATACTCTTAGAAATAATGTTCTCATATAAGAAGATAACTTGTCAGCAGCCTCTGAAGATGAAGATAAGGAAGTAAAAGATTGTATAACTGTTAACATAATCATAGACAATCTATTTTCATTACAAGGAGAGAATGCATGACACAATGGATAGTATGCTGAACTTTGGGAGTCAAAAAAACTGACTCAGAGTTTAAATATTGCCTTTAAACAGTTATTAGTTAATTATGTGACTATCAGGGAGTTATAATCTTGCTGAGACTCAGGCAACTCTGTAACACACTAAGTTGTGTAATATGTGAAGACAGAGGGAGTTCCCACACCAATGAAATTACGACTTGTAACATACTTCTTCCGTAGGTGAGACAATGGCAACAATCTAGACAATCAATGTATGTTTCCTATTGCCAAAAGATAAAGTCATTTCTTAGTTTCCTATCATCGAAAAACAAGCAACTCTTTAGCCTACATAAGTGGTCCTTGGAAATGCTTAATTAGATCAAACAAGTACAGGAATAGGAAGGGAAGCCTTATTACTTCACATGGTATTCACCTGTGCTCATTTTCTCAAATAAAGCAGAGCTGAGTAGAAAATTTTCAAATAATTCAAATAATTTCAAATTATTCTTCATTTCTTAAGTGTCTAAATGTCCTTAGAAAAACTAGAATTAGTCTATGGCTTGTAATACTTATAGATAATTTACTTTTATATATGCATTAGAAAGACTGAATAAACATATTCAAAGTATGTTTTTGTTGTGATTGTAAATTGATGAAGAGGGACATTTCTTGAATAGGCAAGTAGTACAGTTAAAGATCAGATATTACAAATTCAAAACAAAAACTACTTTTCTAATTGAATAAAAAAATTTTCCCTGGAATCAAAGCATGCAATACTTTTACACTAGGACCAAATTTAAGGCTGAGGTATATATGGCATTGAAAGAGAATTATAATTCATAGAATTTATGCATCGCAAGGAACGTCAGTGTCCATCTTATCCAACTCATCACACACAAAAAAATTTTAAGTGCAATATAACATACAAGCTGATAGAGCTAAACATGTAAGTCAAAGAAACTTGGTAAGTTTTGGGGGGGAGTGTTTTCCTCAGTGTAGGGAATTTCTAGTGTGGGAACTCCTATCAAGGTAGATCAACAACTCAGCAACCTAAAATCTTAGAGAGTTGCCTGCAGGCACCAGGAAGTGGCTTATCCAAGGTCACACAAGATACATCAGAAATAGGATTTGAACCCCAGTCTCCCTGATTCCAAAGTTAGCCCTGTGTCTCTCTCAATATTTGTATTCCTTATCATTTCCTTTGATATCAACACTTACAGCACAGTCCCACTTCAAGCATTAGAGAGAGAGAGAGAGAGAGAGAGAGAGAGAGAGAGAGAGAGAGAGAGAGAAAGCAACACAAAGTTTCCTTTGCCCTAATCTGATGACTATGCCAGGTGTAATCACTGGTTAACTAGTTGTGCAAAAAAAGGTAAAAAGAATGATTTGCAGAGGTTCCCAAAGTAGGCTGGAGGGGGCGCTAGAACAATGGTGAGGAGAGCAGTAGTAGCCTCGGGTGCAACTGGGGGGCACTGAATAAAAATAAGAGGGTGGTGGAAGTATAGAAGAAAAGGGAAGAAAATTGTTAAAAACCCTTCACACACATGTTTCATTTGTTGTGGTTAAAGTCATAGTGATTACATTATTTTCCAAATAAACACATAAAAATGCAAGTTATAATCAATCAGTGGTCTTAACAAGCAAGTGCTGGCAAGTGAGCCATGTGTGTCCATGCATCAGAGGGAATGTGCACGTAATGACTTGCTTATAACATCATACTATACACTTACATGATACAATATTACATCATCAAAATCTCAAAGCAGGAAAAAAAAGTTTACAATAAATTATTAATTTTAAGATGTGTCATTTTTTAAAAATAAATTTTACATTTTTTGGAAATCATGCAAATTTATAAAAAAAAGTTAAAGACTTAAAGAAAGTAGACTTCTACGGGGGCACCGACTAATTTTTTTTTAAAAGGGGGCAGTAGGCCAAATAAATTCAGGAACCTCTGATTCAGAGCTTTTGCCTCAAATTTCTGAACTGTAATACTCCACACAATGTAGTAAAGACCTTTCAAGATTCAATACACTAAATCAAGAGTATTTATCTATTTGGGGCTACCAAATCAAACTCCGTGAGTGGTTCAAGAAACTATAATTTCATCAGTGTAGGTACTTCATTAATACAGGTTATAACTCCTTTACAAACTAGTAAGCAGTGTTTGAGACCATAGCAAACAAAGCCAAACATCTGACAAAAGAAGTTGGCTTTTGGGAGTTTTTTTTTTAATGACAAGTTATATACACAGCAAGAAAATTTTAGGGCTAAGTGAATATTCTGGGTAAAATTTTATACATTGGAAGTCTATTCAGTCATTCCTGACTCTCTGGGAATTGAAACTGCTGAAAAACTTACAAAGGTATTATTTTTACTTAGTAACCAGCTCTGTTTATATGTGGCAACAACTGAATGAAGTTTCTATAACTTTTGCATTGTCACATCTGCCAATCAAACAAATCTAGTAGGAAACAGATTAAGGAAGTAGGGGGGAGAATTAAAGAGAGAATGCTGAGGAAAAAGTAGAATGGGTATTGAATTTGGGCTGGAATCCCAGCCCAGCTACTTAGTATCTATGTGACTAATGGCAAGTTGCTTAAGCCTCTGTGGGCCTGAATTTCCACATCTTTAAAAAGAGTTTGATTAGATAACTTTTATGGTCCCTTCTATTTCTAAATCTGTAGTTCTAGGATCCCATAAAATAGACAAAATTAGTTTTGCTGTTTTTAATATGTCTGATTCTTGAGGCTGATTGATGCAGAGGAATGTGAAAATGAACATGAAAATTCTGGGCATGTTAATGACCACTGAATCATTGATTCACCCTTCTCCCTTACTTTTACGATTGTGTCCACCATCTTCTTACCTTTCTATGGCACAATTAAAAATTCCTAAGTTTCTTGTGGTATCTGGGGGACAAGGGAATCTTTATTTGTACTGATGAAATGTGGGAGATGGAGAGGAAGGAAATCTTATGAAAAAGGCAGAGAAGATAACCTTAAAATAAAAAGTTTAAATACAATTAGAGAGAAGAGAGAAAAATCAAGATGAATCAAGAAAAAATTAAGGTAAAGTTTCGGAGAAGTTCAGAAGTCCAGCAGTTTATATCAGTCCAGAGGTTAAACTTTACAGCTTGTTACAGTAAACTAATGAAAACTTGACAAAGACTGTCACTTGTCCTGGTCCAATATTAGGAAGCAATTATACAAAACACAAGCCTAGCTCTCAAAATGGACCCAAAGAATACCAAATTTCTTTCTGAAATGAAGAAGAGCTAATGAGAAGTTGAAACATGAAACACGAAATAGATCAGAACGTCCAATTCTGTATTTCCCCTTTAACAAGTACAATTTTTTAAGCAATTCAATGATAAAGAGCTTGGTAATCAGAAAGAATGATATTTAATAGAATTATACACACAATGCTTACACTATTTTATTAAATTAATTTTCAAAACAGGTTATAAACCAAAATAAATACCATAGTATCACAGATTTAGAAGATGGAAGAAACCAAGTCCAAATGTCTTCATTTTACAGATAAGGAAACTCAAATTAAGTGACTTCCTCAAGGTCTCATAGTTTAGTGGCAGAATCAAGATTTGAAAATAGATCCTCTAACTCCAGTGACCACTTTTTCTATTATACCATCATGCCTCTTTAAAAAAAAATTAATGATTAATAATTTACCATTTAGATTTCAAAAAAAATTTAATCTTTCAACAAAACAAAAATTCTGAAGACACAACTCAAATTTAAAATAAGTAGCTAATCCTAGACTTACAATAGGATTTTTAACAAAGGTACCATATATATAACTACCAGAACAAGATACCCCATGCATTAATGTCCACATATTAATATTTTCCTTTGCTGTTTCCATCTCTGAAAAGTATTGTATTTGTATATAATTTTGAACCTTCTTGCCAAATCATTCCACATCCTAAATGATTGGCATGTAACATGCCAACCCCATATTCTTTTTGTCTCAGGGTCATGTGCTCCATATTGATCTCTTCCTTATCTTTAACTTCTATTGTATTTAGTGATCCAGATGAGTGCTTAATGACTGTTTCATATGTGCTAACATCATGGTTCAAAATAAAATGAAAACCTTTTTAAGGGATTGTCTTGTTTCCAAGTATATCCCTTAGCAACTACAATACCTTTAACTGGAAATCTTTTAAAATTTGGTTATTAATTTTTTAAAAACTATATGTGTGCAAACATTTATAGCAATTTTACAACTCTAAAAAGGACTTACCATTTTGGTCCATCTCATATGCTACCAGCATTACTATTTAAACTATACTCGCATACTCACTAAAGTAACTCTAAAATGGAAATAGTACAAATTGCATATCATACATATTCTTACAATTTCTCCATATTTTCTCCACAAATATGTTACTTCTAGTGATAGGACCAGGAAAATCATACTGTGCTATCACTTTAAGAGTATAAATATTATGAGCTGCTGCAGCCTAGAAACGATCTTTTTTCCCTAGCAAACTATAGTGGTTATCAGCACCAGCTAGTACCAAAGCACACTGATAATCATTTACAGTGAATAGGATTACAGCCAAATAAATACAAATCAGGTATTTGGGCTGTCTAACTTCTATTTAACAGACACAGATTTGTATGAGAAGCTAGAAGGATTTTTACAGTTTTTTTATTTCCTATAATAAAGAAGAAAAGAATAAACCTCCTGTCCCTCAGTACATTCTGGTTTCCAAAACAAATAAATAAATAAATGATCCAAAACTAAACAAATAATTGAGAAACACACTTAAAACACTACAAACTGAACCCAGTCAGGAAATCACTATCTAAATTTCTATATTGATGACTGCAGAAATGTCATGCCTAATCCTTTCTGAAACCAAGGGGGCAGTAGTACACAGGAATAACTAAGCAGACTGGCTCATGGAGCAAAGCACTGCTGAGGAAGGTTGAGGAACAGGCTATGATGACATGGTAAAAAGTGATTATGATGTTTAACAGTGCCATTACAAGAGAATGCCTGTATTATTAAAAAAAAATTATAACCCTATATTTTCACAGTGATTTAATATTTTTGTCAATTCCCCATACCAAGATTATATAGGGGTTTTTTTCCAATTTTTACTGATTGATGCTACCTAAATTATAACTGATTAAAATGCTAAAACTGAAGAGTAAATACATAAGAATGAGGTTTACATGGTTTTAATAAATAAGATATTGAATTTTTTCTTTAAACAATATAATTACAAGATGAGTGGGGTTACTACCTATCACAATTTAATATTTAACTTGTTTCCTTTACCTCATAATATAAATGTAGAAAAAATGAATTGTTTATTACATATATCTATATTATACATACATTATACATAAATATCTGTATTATATATATATATATACACACACGTGCATATTAACTAAAACAATATACTTAGTACCTTACCAACAGCATTGTAGAGGGGTTCTCCAGTATATTTGTCCCAAACCACTGTAGTTTCCCTCTGATTGCTCACGCCAATAGCTTGTAAGAAAATTAAACAGATGATAGTATAAAAACACAAACAGAAAATTGGCAAAAAGTATATTTTAAACCTAATTTCAGCACAGAGACCTCCCCTTTTACACATATGTCCCTTAGCAAATCTGTTCAGCTCATTTTCATGCCTCAGTTTCATCATCCATAAAATAGCATTTGATGACTTTTGAGGTCCTTATCCCACTTATAAATCTAGGATTCTATTATATTATATGCTAAAAATGAGTTCAGGTAAATCCCAAGTGAAGGACAGAAGCCAGTTTTGCTGGCTTTCCATCACAACTTACCCTGGATGGTGGTGACTGTAACTAATCACATATTGAACCTAGCAAAGATTTGTTTGGTGTCACTGTATCAAAAACTTACTTTTGAAATATAGCCCAGGACTTGGGTTTGACTAAATAAGCTACCCTCCAGAGGCCTCACAAGGCCTGGCCACTTGGAAATGGAGGAGGAATCACGTTAGCTTCAGGGATCTATGACCTCCTCATTATTGGCTAGAAATCTCCAAAAGAAATAAAAATGTCTTTCAGAGATAAGCTCCTTGAGAGCAGAGATTATTTTATTTTTTTGTCTTTATATATGTCATATAGTAAATAAGTAGCAACTAATAAATGTTAGTTGAACAAAAATTCCATAAGAATTGAGAGGAATGGAGTACTTTAGCTGAAAGTGAGAAAGGGGAAAAGTGAGAAAATATCCTGAAACACACTGCTATACCATCTGTATTATTGCCATATCCAGTAAAGAACCTTCAGACAATGACTTGTGGTACTAGAACAAAAAATTTTACATATTACTGCAAAGAATTCTAACAGTGTTAGATCTATCATATTAAGTCTGGAACATACAGGAAATTCATGGCTTCACATGTAGTCCTCTTTTTTTTGTTCTCCTTTGCATAAGGAAGTATTCATGCTTGTTGATGTTTGTCAAGTTCATAATAATAAAAGGGAATTCTAATTTTTAATACAAGAGAACTATAGATCAGGAACATTATGTATACTGCACACATGTGGTTACTTTGTTGGTTCATTTTGCTTAACTCTTAAAAGGAAGGGCTCAAAGAGCAAGAAGCATCTTAAATCAGGAAATGACTAATATAAAGAGGGTATCAATAAAAATTATTTTGATAAAATTAAATTTTAATAGACAAAGCAAGATGAATAAATCGTGTGTCTCAGATGGAGAGGATTTAATAGCAACTGAAGAAAACAGCAAGGAAGTATTTGGATACAAAAAATAAAAAAAATTTCCAGTGGGGGAAGAAATGTGTTTGGCAGTCAGAGAATAAAGTCTTTTTCTAATTTAGACCTCAAACCAAATTATATTAATAACCTAATTAAAGCTGTTTCAATGAAAAAACTGAGATGAATTCTTTGTAAAAGAAAAAAATTAGAACTGTGCAAATGATCATACAAATAATCATGGTCAACTGGAATTTTTTTTGTAACAGAGCTTTTTAAGTGATGCAATTCACTTTACCATTGTAGAAAACTTTGAATTTCCTATTACTGTTATTGATGGAATGTAAGCATATCAAATTGAAATAATTTTTGATGAGTTAAGACTTATTCCACCCATTTTCAAACCCCCAAAAGAATACCTTTGATAGCAGAAATGTCAATATTCAGCTGGCTAAGTTTCTCACAAGTTCTTTCTATACATTCATAGACAGACTGCAGAATCTCCTTAGGATCTTGCTCCACCCATCTTTGAACATAAAAACACATCTGATTATTTATGTAGAAATCTGTAACAAATAAAACTGAGTAAGGGGTTGGAAAAAAATCAGTTCACTTTAACAAGGGTACCACATGCACAAATATTCAGGAAATTTATAGTTTTTAATAACTAACTGGATATAAGGGGAAAAGTGCTTTGATAACATATAAGACCAAGGCTTTGACATAAAACCCATTGGTTCTCACAATATTAAGTAAGGCTACAGAGTGACTTGACTCCAGGTGTGTGCTGGAGACAGCCTGAACTGGCAAAGTGTTAATTTTTCAGTTTGAGCATTTAAACTTTGGAAATTGGCAAATATTACAAATCAAGAGGTTCATTTATTTTTTGTTAATTGTCAAGATTTAAGAAAGTAACAGAAAATATTAATAATGTCAACTAAACTTAAAAGTATATTGTGAATACATCCCCCTCCCCCAACCCTGCCCAAGATATCCAGTTGTTAAAAATTTACCAGCACACCAGTGTGATTCATCTTAAGACCCATAATCAGGATCAAAGCAGTTTCTGATACTCAGAATTTGTGATTAAGGCAAAATACATCCAATAAACTAAAGAAATTAAACAGAAAAACTGATTTTTCCATACAAGTACATTCCTAATTTCAAAGCAAAAAAAGAAATACACAAATTATATATACTACCTATTTTGAAACTTAGTTCATTAGTCTGATAATAAAAGGAAGTAATTCCTTGCCCAAAAAGCCAATAAAGCCTGTGAGAATTCAACAGATGTTTAAAGATGATTTCTTGTTATTCCTAAATACACTGAAAATTTGATTCTTGAGGAAAAAGAAATTCTGCTTTATATTGATAAGCAAAAACTATCATGTAGATTTCTAAAAATAAAATTTAAAAATAACATACATTCAAGGAACACTATTGTTGAAAGAGATCTCAGTACAAGGAAATATAGAATGATGTCACAAACAGTGTATAAAAGTAAATGTACTATTTTTTTCTGCATAAAGTAATACACATTACAAAAGAATCAATCATTTGTAGCTCTTAATTCAATTACAGCATGATTCTATTTCATCTTTCTGCCTGTTACAATTTAACAAACTCAAAAGGGTATCAAAATTGCCAGCTATCAAATCTCATTAAAATGGAAACCTGTTGCCACAACATTTAAAGAGGTAGGAGAGCAGCTGAATTGTGTACTAGTAGTAATCTACAAAAACTTCATATCCCAATGTTTGAAAATCATACAAAATTTTATTAAGAGCACTGTATTTGATACTATATGCAAAATACAATTACTATACATAAACACTGCGCTCAAAAGGATAATATTTTTGCTAAATAAAACCTATCACTTTATCTTTTTATTCCCTTCCAGGAGCCCTCATTCAATAGAATCTGTTGTACTTAGATCAGCAAAGTACCATGATGTAGTGGAAAGAATGCCAGACTTGGAACCAAAAGAGATCTTCATTATAAAGCTATATTTTGACACTTACTAATTGTATGTGACCTTGAGCTATCCAGTTAACCTAAGCTTTTGTTTCCTCTTCTGTAAAACAGAGATAACTATAACTGTACTACCTACTTTATATAGAAACTACAAGGAATTTGTAAACCAAAAAAGCACATAACAAAAACAAAAATTCAAAACTGCCAGTTCAACATTCATGACCTTGGGTGGGAAGGGGAGAACACAAACTGGCAGTGATGAGTAAGAGGGAATCAGGAAGTAGGAGGTGGCACTTGAACAGAGCCTTGAAGAGAGACAGAAATTCCAAGAGACAAAGGTAAGGAAAAACAAAGCATTCAAGACAGAAGGATAACCTATGCAAAGGCACAGGTGTGAGAGATGAAATACATATGGAGGGGAAAAAAGCACGTTGACCAGTTTGGCTGGAATAAAAAGTATATGAAAGGGAGTTACAAGAAATCAGTTTAGAAATGTGGGTCAAAGTCAAACTGTGAAGGACTTTAATTGCCCAAGTTTTATTTTATCACTGTAGCTTCTTGAGGAGAGAGGTGGTACTTTAAGAATATCACTTTTGTTCCCAGGCTTAGGAGAAGACTAGACCGGAAGGGCCCTTTTTAATTACCTTTCTAAAGAGATGACTGGAATTCACTCCTCAGGCAGAGACTTGGGGGGCAGCCTCACTGAAGGACAGGGTCCCAGGGTCCATAGCATCCCAGAGAGTCAGGCAAGGGAAGCAGTGTGGAGACATGGACCACCTTCCCTGGCCAGTACCTGTGCTCAGCATTAGGGTTTGGGAAGTAGGTTGTTCAGCTTTCTGGTTTGTTTAACGATATAAATTACTATTGTCTTTTTTAAAAAATAAAAAAGTTTCAGAGCACCTATAAACACACACACACACACACACACACACATATATATGTATATATGTATATATGTATACATATATATAATTTTTGCAGCTGTTATGAAAGATGCATAGGAGAGGTGGGAGTAGCCTTAGGAGATTATTTCAGTAATAAAATGAGAAATGATGAGAATCTGAATTGGTTGGGGGTGGTCCTGTGAATGGAGAAAAAAAGGGACTGATAAGAGTGACTTTGTAGAGAAAGAATCACAGACTTGGCAACTGACTGAATAAGAGATAGTGAAGAGTCAAGAATGACTCCAAAGCTGTGGGCCTGGGTACCTAGAAGGATAGTGGTGGTATATCACCTGGGTTCAAATCCTTGCTCTGATACTCACTATTTTCAGATGCTCCCTATGGTCTCAAGGATCAAATGCAAACTTAGCCTGGCATTTTAGACCCTTCAGAATCTGGGTCCAATTTACCTTTGCCGATATATTTTATATAATTGTCTTTCACACCTTCTAGTCAAACTGGATTACTAGTTATTTGCCAAATTCAGCACTGCACATCTCACATGAAGAATTTGTTACTTTCCATACCTAGAATGGTATCTCTATCTCTCAGTTTCTATCTCAAGCTCATTTTAAATACCACCTTCTTCATGATTTCTCCCAATTATTATTGTTCTCTCCCTCTTTAAATTATCTAGTATTTATTTACCTATGTAACCTCCCAGCAGAATTTAAGGTACTTAAAAAAAGTTATTTCATTTTGTCTTTTGTATCCATGCCACCTAGGACCATGGATCCCAGAGTAAGCATTTAATAAATGTTTGCGGAACTAAAGTTGAATGAACTATGACCTGTTCAACTGAACATAGAAACCACATATTTATTCATTCACACAAACATTTGTTGAATAGCTATCTTGTACAGTATTGTTCTAGAGGTTGTAGGAAATACAAAGATAATAATTTCTGAAAATAATGTTCTTGCCCTGAAAGAGGTCTAATGTTAGAGATAAGATGTGTATCTAAGTAAATAACTATGAAAAAATAAAGAATGGAAATCTTATTATTCAGAATTCAATGTTACAAATATGTTAATGAAATAGGATTCTAATTATACAGTGCTACTTGCATTGACTCTGTAGATTGCACATAACTCCACAGTATTTAGAAACAGTAATCCTACATTTATGATTGCACTTCTTGTACTTTTCAATGTGCTTTCATATATATTGTCTAACATTGCTAAGCTATCAAATATCTTTTATTGAACAAAAATGAGTGACTAACAAATGGGTCTCTCTCCCTGAGAACTTCAAACCTCCTCATACTGTGGTTATAAATATGCATAACATGAAATATACAGCCAGTTAATATTGTAAAAATTATTACAAAAAGTGCAAACTTCATGACCATTAAATTAGAGGCATACCCTTCTTTAGGGAACTTCTGTTTTAGTTCCACTTGATGATGACTAAGTAGTTCAGCTGTTTTTGAATTGAAAACCTGAAAAACATTGAAAAATTAGGGAGATGTTAATAAATACTAAAATATGAAGTTAATCACAAACTAGATGAACAAATATATCAAGCTAAAATATGGTAAACTTTCAGAAACACTGCTTTTTGTAAATTCATGGCTGAACAACACTTAGAATATCTTTAAAACAGCCTTTAAAGATACAAAGACTAAATCTGGCCTCAGAAATAACTGCTTAATTACAACCATTTAAAATGTACCAAAATTAGAGACAGGAATATGTGGCAAATAGGGGCTTTTTTTTCTTTCCCTTTCTCCCTAGAACTGGGACCAAATAGGTTCTAATTCAAATGACAAGGATAAGAGTAATACTTAATTTATTAGACAGTGTTAAAGCGTATTATGCTGTAAGGGTTATAAATATAACTTCTATATTGCTATAACACCTCAGCCACCAAAACACTTGATCTTCTTGCCAAAAAGAGAGATATAGTATCCAAAGACAACAGTTTACAATAAAAGTTTATTTGTAAAATTATTACAGAAGACAATGGTACAAGATTATGATCCAAAATCAGTTGAGGGGGAAAAGAGTCTACAAAACCTTAGCACAACTGAGCTAAGTTGATCACCTCAACAGACAAAATTGAAAACTGAGAACAGACATAAAATGGAACAGTTTTACCTGACAAATGCATATAATGAGACATTCATTCTGAAGACAGAACAATTTTAAAAACTTTCAGGAATCAATTATGTGATACCTCAAGGAAAGGAGGATTTCAAAAAAGTAGGGAAAATCTTAAATGGTTCTTTTAAAAAATTATTCAACCATGACAACACTGGCACCCAGGAACTCAAACACCTATTTTCTCATGTCCAAAAATCAGTCCAAAATCAGGACTGGATTGAGGAGGGCATCCAAAAAAGGCCAAATTTAATTGATATACAGATACTGAAAACAAATCTACTAATCTAAAAATATACTATTTTTGTGAAAAATTGTAATGTATTGACAATGGAAAGAGCACTCAACTCAGATATCAAAGGACTTGGTTTCAAAGCCAGGCTCAGCTATTTATTTCACGTGACCAAGTCAAGTTTCTTAACTTCTGTAGGCACCTTAGTTTCCTCATCTTTATTGTGGAAGGGTTAAATTTGAGCTCTGCTGCTTCCTTTAGATCTAAACCTAAGATCCTATGATTTAGTTAACAAAAAATAAAGTTATTGCTACTACATGAATATGATACAATAGCAAATTATATGTAGTCATCTACTGCAGATACAGTTGTTGGCTCTACTTTCCTAACGGTCTCACTCCTAGTTATTTTGTAAACTGACTCAGAACCCAAAGATTTTGGTCCATACACTTGAGATCCTATACTCATCCTAGACATTTGCTCTTGAATAGTAATAACAGCAGCATCACTACCTCCACCCCAACCTACCATTTGCATAGCTTTAAGTGCAAAGCACTTTACAAATAATCTCATTTGAAAAGCCTTTGCAGCTAGCAGGTCAGACTCCTCCTTTCTTCATTGATCACACTGCAATGAACCAAGGTCAACAAAAGGAACAATCAGATTCATACCTATAGTTTTTGTGTTGGGTCTTCGTGTTTTCTTAAAATCTAGCACTATTTACTGTACCTTTTCCCTAACAATAGTATCACAACTACCAAAATTTTTCCATTTCCCAAAAAATATGGATAAATCATACATAGGTCTTTTAGATGAGGCAATAAGAGTTAATAATTTTTAGCTCATGGAGTTAATAATTTTTAGCTCACAGGCATAAAAAAAAATCAGACCACCACACTGATGTTAATGAGAGTAAAAAAAAAAAAATCTAAACATTACATCTGGGTAGTTCAGCATCTTTTGAGGATGGTTCAAAAGAAAAGTATACAAATATCACACCACAATCACACCTTTAGGAAAGTAGAGCAAGAACTGTATCTGCAATAGATGACACATATAATAGCAATCCTGTAAGTCACTTTTAACACATAGGCTATACATCAGTGATTTCTAGAATTTCACTTGCTAGTTGGCTCTTCTACCCCACTGCATCTAGGTCCATCTCCAGTCTTCTTGATCTATATCTTGCCACCGAACCCAGATGGCTCTGAAGCGGAAAAATGAGGCTGGTGACGTTGCACAGCCCTCTCTCACTTAAATCAATTCACTTGTATATCATGGCACCACTTCCCTGATGTCATGGTCCTCTTTGAAGATGAAGGACAAACAAACAAGATGAAATATGGAATTCTATTCTTGTCTTTAAATGCCCTTTAGAACCCAGCCCCTTCTTATTCTTACCTTTCCTTTCTTACACCTTACTTTCCTTTCCACATACTGTGAGATCTGGTAACACTAGGCCTCTTTACTGTTCCCCCTCTCAAAGGACACTCCCCCTTCCAAATGTATATTTTCTCTAGCTATCTCCCATGCCTGAATTTTCTCCCTCATAATCTTCATCTCCCAGATTATTTAGTTTTTTGAAAATTAAAGATGAGATTAACAAGAACAAAAGCAAAAAGAAAAAACTGCTGAACTGATTAATAAAATTAGGATTTAAAAAGATAATATGAGCTTATCCTTCATAACAAATGATGAGGAAATAAAGGAAACGATTAGAAACAATTTTGTCTAAACATATTTAAACAAAACTGATAATAACTAACAGAATCAGAAATACCCCAATCTCAGATAAAAATATTAGCAGAGAGGCTACAGCAACACACTGAAAAGATTTTACACTATGACCAGGTTGGATTTGCACAATAAGTGTGAGATTTGTTCAATATTATAAATAATATAAACATAACAGATAAAATTTATGGTAAAGTAATAAAAATCACATGATTATATCAAAAGACACATAAAGGGCTTTTTGCAAACCTAAACCCAAATATTTTCCATTCATGACATTAAATAGGAGCTTTCCTTAATATCTTGAAGGAAGAAATAGCATTATCTGTAATGAACAATAGAAATACTTCCAATAAGATCAAGGGCAAAACCCTTAATCATCACTATCAGTTGAAAAAAATTCTAGAAGTTAGCTGTAACAATAAAATAAGCAAAAGATATTAGGGCAATAAACAGAGGCAAAAAAGATTTTTTTTCTTTTGCAGATAATACAATGGTCTACTCAGTAATTCAACTAAAAAACTAATTGAAATGATTACTGACTTCAGCAATCTCCCAGGATATAAAACATTGCCCAAAACGCTTGGCTAAGAGGTGGAAAGAGAATTATCATTTAAAAGAACTACAGAATTTAAAAAAAATATATGAATCCAGCTACTGAGACAAAAAAAGAATTATATGAATACACCTATAAAACACTCTTTTTACAGAAACAAAGGGCCCTAAATAATTGAAGATATTAAGTGCTCATGATTAGACAATACTTATATAATAAAAATAACACTGCCTAATGTACTTATTTATTCAGTGCCATATCAAACTACCAAAGTTTACTATCTGGAGTTAGAAAAAAACAGTAAAAAATATTCAACTGAAGAAAAAATGGTCAAAATTCTCAAGGACAATATTTTTTTTTAATTGAGAAGGAAGAACTTAAAAAGGATCAGATCTCAAACCATACTACAAATCAGTGATTAAAATTTTTTTGAACAGGGGCAGCTAGGTAGTGCAGCGGATAGAGCACTGGCCCTGGATTCAGGAGGACTGAGTTCAAATCTGGACTCAGACACATAACACTTACTAGTTGTGTGACCCTAGAAAAGTCACTTAACCCCACTGCCTCGCCAAAAAAACAAACCAAAAAAAAAACACAAAAATTATTTTGTACAAAGTCTCATGATGGAAAATGCTATCTATCCACATCCAAAGAAAGAACTATGGCGTTTGAATGCAGATTGAAGCATACTATTTGCTCTTTTTTTTCCTTCTGTTTTGATTTGTTTCCTCCTTCTTGTGGTTCCTTTTATTGGTTCTAATTCCTCCTCACAACATGACTAATGGGAAAATATGTTTAATAGGAATATACACGTACAGCCTATATCAGACTGCACGCCATCTTGGGGAGGTAGAGAAAAATTTAAAACTCAAAAGCTCAAAAACTCAAAATTAATTTAAAAAATTATTTTGACTAGTTTAAAAAATAGTAAAATAGATTTTGTACATAATATTTTTGGAAGGAAACAATACTACAGTGTTCAATAAACCCAAAGAATCCAACCACTCTTTCACATAAGAACTCAAAAAAATTGGGGAGGAGTGGAATTGGAAAGTTGTCATAAATTGGGTTTCAATCTGCATCACATTATATATAATAATAAGCTCTAAATAGAAACATAATCTAGATATCTAAACAAATAGAGGAGTGGGGAAGGTGATAGCTTTCACAACTACAGAGAAGAGAAGAGTGCTTACAGAAAATAAAATGGGCAATTTTGATCATTTAAAATTACACCACTGGAGGCAGGTAGGTGGGCCCTGAAGTCAGGAGGACATGAGTTCAAATTCAACATCAGACCAAACGCTTGACACTTACTAGCTGTGTGACCCTGGGCAAGTCACTTAACCCCAATTGCCTAAAAAAAAAAAAAATTACACCATGACTGCCTTGCCAGAGAGGGGGAGAGAGAGAGCGAGAGAGAGCGAGAGAGAGAGAGAGAGCGAGAGAGATTGAGGAAAAAAATTAAGAACAATCCAAGAAAGATTATGAAAAGAAAGTCAACCAATTGGAAAAGGAGATCCACAATCTTAAGAAAGAAAACAACTTCTTGAAAATTAGAACTGGGCAAGAAGAAAAGCCAGTGAAGTTAGAGACCAAGAAATAATAAAACAAAATATAAAGAATGAAAAAATAGAAGTAAATGTGAAACATCTTATAAGAAAAACAACTGATTTGGAGAATAAATTGGGAAGAGAAAACATAAGAATAATTGGGCTATAATTTTTTTTTTTTAGGCAATTGGGGTTAAGTGACTTGCCCAGGGTTACACAGCTAGTAAATGTCAAGTGTTTGGCCTGAGGCTGGATTTGAACTCA